ATCTGCGCTGTAGTATATACTACATCGTATGTACGACAGATCTGGGTGGGTGCCGTTTACTATACCGCCAGGACCTACATCGGACATGATGATCGGAGCTCTGCCCAACTCTGGCGAAGCCTGTCGTATATTATATATACGAGGCGGTATAACCGAAATCGGTTATTTTGCTAGCTGGGACTGTATTAATGTACTCTACTGCATATAATTTGTGAACATTTACATGATTTGTACACTTTGAACTCCCTTTCAGGCTGAAAGGGACTGAAAAAATTCATACCGAGAGATTCTTTTAATTCCTCTCTATATATTCTATTCTCTATGTTTATAACTCATGCATTGTTAAGCCCCAAATCCCATTTTTACAATTGAATTTACATTCAATCAAATACTTTACAAAATGAGTTGTTGCAATGGAACCATGCTATACTTACTGTATTATTTTAATGGACTAGAAAATAGCCAGGACCTTTATTTTCATTAGTCATTATTTTTCCCGCTTAGCCTTCTCCTTCAAAATCCTGAAAAAGCGCTGGAAATAAGACGACATTTAAAACTATATATTATTCTTTTATTCAAGCAGATGTGTATTAGGGGGAGGTCAGCCAAAATGAGTTTACTCCACAAACCACTTATTTATGTCAAATAAGGCTTGGACGCTTAAGAATTTTTTTGAGAGAAGTCTCTAAGTTTTTCAAAAGTTATGTTTAAGTAAAGTAAAGCGTCCCTTGATCTTTTCTATAAATATATATATAGCTGTTTATAGAATGTATTTATATATTTAAATTATCCCGAAACCCCTATGCTTTCTTGTACTTTTGCTATAAAAAATATGTTTTTCTTCCAAAAAGCTCGCTGTAACAAAGACGACATCTAAATATATTCCGGGTTTGCAGGATCCAATGAAGGATAAATATATGAACGGGAACAGTAATTATAAATTGAAATCATTAAAAATCAGTGCAAGCTACAATTTATACAATACATTTTAAGATGTGCCACCTGACTCTAAGCTAAAAAACATTATTACCGTACATATGGACATTAAGTCTTAAGACAATTGACTTAAATGTATATCAAAAAAGTACACCAAGGAGGATTGAGGAACCGCATTTTCGAAAGTGAGACATTTTACAATTGCTAAATATTTTGTTCGAAATTACAAACATTTTGTTCGAAATTATAAACATCTTGGATCGAAAGTACAAATATCTTGTTAAAAATATAAACATCTTGTTCAAAATGTTCATAATTTTAAAATTATTTTGGTAATTCGATATTACAATTACAAACAAAATATCTAGGTTTTTATTTGAAAATTTCGTGACAAAGTTTAGTTGATTTTTTGGCCAACATTAACATTAAGATATTTCTACCTTAAAAGTGTAGAAAAATTAGCATATCATTTAAATTTATATATAAATTTGGCTTGTCTGTCTGTTTGTTTGTTTGTATCCAATAAACGTCAAAACGGCTGAACCGATCGGGCCCAAATTTTTTGTGGGAAATCACGTGACCACAGGGAAGGTTTATGAATGATCAAAATTTCAAATATTTGTCTCCATCAAAATTCGATCTTCATTAAATTTTTGAAAATTTTGANAGCCGAAACACCTTATACTTGTTAGCCGAAACACCTTATACTTGTTAGCCGAAACACCTTATACTTGTTAGCCGAAACACCTTATACTTGTTAGCCGAAACACCTTATACTTGTTAGCCGAAACACCTTATACTTGTTAGCCGAAACACCTTATACTTGTTAGCCGAAACACCTTATACTTGTTAGCCGAAACACCTTATACTTGTTAGCCGAAACACCTTATACTTGTTAGCCGAAACACCTTATACTTGTTAGCCGAAACACCTTATACTTGTTAGCCGAAACACCTTATACTTGTTAGCCGAAACACCTTATACTTGTTAGCCGAAACACCTTATACTTGTTAGCCGAAACACCTTATACTTGTTAGCCGAAACACCTTATACTTGTTAGCCGAAACACCTTATACTTGTTAGCCGAAACACCTTATACTTGTTAGCCGAAACACCTTATACTTGTTAGCCGAAACACCTTATACTTGTTAGCCGAAACACCTTATACTTGTTAGCCGAAACACCTTATACTTGTTAGCCGAAACACCTTATACTTGTTAGCCGAAACACCTTATACTTGTTAGCCGAAACACCTTATACTTGTTAGCCGAAACACCTTATACTTGTTAGCCGAAACACCTTATACTTGTTAGCCGAAACACCTTATACTTGTTAGCCGAAACACCTTATACTTGTTAGCCGAAACACCTTATACTTGTTAGCCGAAACACCTTATACTTGTTAGCCGAAACACCTTATACTTGTTAGCCGAAACACCTTATACTTGTTAGCCGAAACACCTTATACTTGTTAGCCGAAACACCTTATACTTGTTAGCCGAAACACCTTATACTTGTTAGCCGAAACACCTTATACTTGTTAGCCGAAACACCTTATACTTGTTAGCCGAAACACCTTATACTTGTTAGCCGAAACACCTTATACTTGTTAGCCGAAACACCTTATACTTGTTAGCCGAAACACCTTATACTTGTTAGCCGAAACACCTTATACTTGTTAGCCGAAACACCTTATACTTGTTAGCCGAAACACCTTATACTTGTTAGCCGAAACACCTTATACTTGTTAGCCGAAACACCTTATACTTGTTAGCCGAAACACCTTATACTTGTTAGCCGAAACACCTTATACTTGTTAGCCGAAACACCTTATACTTGTTAGCAGAAACACCTTATACTTGTTAGCCGAAAATTTAATTACCATCACCAGCACGAAGATTAAGGGATTTTAAACACCACATTTCCCCCTGTTTGTTCTATTTTTATCATATTGTCCAACTTTCTTAGAATTATTTCATTTTTGAGGTTTAAAGGGAGTGTTCGCGAAAAACGAAAGGGGGTACAGGCAAAGCGCTTTTGATCGCTAATAATCTTACTTCTATCTGTTGCGTCTATAAGGAGAAAATTGTTAAAGACCTCTCATACTGAAGAGCGTAGCGCCCGTACAAATTGAGGAAGTTGGAACATACGACTTGGATTGTAAAAGATCAAATTAATCGATTATCTTTCGCCACATTTGTGTATAGTTTATATTTTATAATATTTTTTAATTAATTTGTTTTTAATTTCTTTTTTCTCTTGTCGCTTGCGCAACTATTTAAGAATGCCGCGCACCACTCACATTTTTCGAAATCCCTTTAAAACGTTTTCTAAAAAAAATCAAATATAAAAAATATTAAAAACATAAACTCTATACAAATGTGGCGAAAGATAGTCGATGACTATAGGTTGTAATATCTGAATGATTTGTTTCATATTAATTTGATTTTTTACAATCCAAGTCGTATGTTCCAACTTCCTCAATTTGTACGGGCGCTACGCTCTTCGGTATGAGACGTCTTTACAATTTTCTCCTTAAAGACGCAACAGATAAAAGTAAGATTAGTAGCGATCAAAAGCGCTTTTTTATCGCATTAAGCCTATACCCCCTTTCATTTTTCGCGAACACTCCCTTTAAGGTATCATTTTTCGTAAAAAAGAAAGAAATATAAAGCAAAAAATGACTGGAAGACTAAAATGTTGCGGCACTGTAGAGCTCAGTTTAGTGACTGCCGGAAGACAAAAAGCTAATAAGTGGGATTGGAGAGAAAATAGTTGTGGTTCATGAGGCATACCTTCCTCCGCTCGCTTCAATTATATTTCAGTTATTCAATTAGTTATCAATATATGTTTTTTAATCAAACAGATCATATCTACATTGAACTATTGTGCTGATGAAAAAAAATTATAATATCACTTGGTGGAATTTTCAAAAGTTAATTTAAGTCCGGGATGAATAACTGAAATGTTTATTTGTCAACTTTCTCCTCAGATTGTTAATTTAGTGTTTATTTTCAAGATGTTTCTTCAAACTACTTGCTCTAGTTGTAGTAAACTCACACTGAGAACAAGGATATCTCACTCCTTCATGCTTACTTGATGTATGCATCTTCAGATTACTTGCTGTAGTTGCACTATACTCACATTTACAACATTGATATCTCACTCCTTTATGTTTATTTTCAATATGTCTTCTTAAATAATATGCTGAAGTTGCAACATACTCACACTCAACGCAAGAATATCTAACTCCTTCGTGTTTACTTTCAACATGTTTTTTCAGGTTACTTGTGTCGGATGCAGTATACTCGCATACACTACAAGGATATCTAACTCCTATATGTTTATTTTCAATATGTTTCTTTAAGTCTTTTTTCTGAGTTGCAGCATATTTACATTCAGAGCAAGGATATCTTATACCTTCATGTTTACTTTCAACGTGCCTCTTTAAATCACCTGCTGTAGTTGCAGCATATTTGCATTGTGAGCATGGATATCTCACCCCTTTGTGTACTTTTTCAACATGAATCTTTAGATTTCTGGCTGAAGTCGCAACAAACTCACATTGATAACAAGGATATCTCAATCCTTCATGTATGTTTTCAACATGAATCTTCAGAGAACCTGCAGTAGTTGCACCATATTCACATTCAGGACAAGGATATCTTAATCCTTCGTGTCTACTCTCAATATGTCTCTTTAGAGTTGAATTTGTAGTTGCAAAATAGTCACATTCAAGACAGGGGTAGGTATCTTGACTTTCCTCGATTATCTTTGGAACAGCTCGCAGAGAATCAAATTTGTTCTCCGAGTTTTCTCCTGAAATAGTTCAAATCAAATTTGTTATCCATGTTTTCTCCTGAAATAGTTAAAATCAAATTTGTTATCCGTGTTTTCTCCTGAAATAGTTAAAATCAAATTTGTTATCCGTGTTTTCTCCTGAAATAGTTAAAATCAATTTTGTTATCCGTGTTTTCTCCTGAAATAGTTAAAATCAAATTTGTTATCAGTGTTTTCTCCTGAAATAGTTCAAATATAGAATATTAATCTTATATACGTCAAGTAGATTGTTGGAAGGTATTTGCATATTATTAACCACCGACCAACTCGTTACACTTTATTTGAGGTGAAGCAAGCCTGAAAACTGATATATTTAGCTCCTTGAGTATATTATGTACTTTTGATTTATGGCTATTAACGACGCGAGGGTTATTTTTACCATTTTATAAATAGCACCAGCAGTGCCGACACCTTCATTTAGCTAATTATTAATATTTTTTTTTTTCATTTATTCATTAATGTTTTAATTCATCTATTTATTTATTTCTTGTTTGCTTCACAATATTGTTCAGCCTCAAAATGCTGGTTAACTAAATATTTATTCATTTCTTTATTTATAAAAGATATTGATTCGACTCTCTATTTTCTAAAAAACTTTAACAACATTATCAAAATGTTGTTTGCAAATGGCGCTCTGAATTTCGTGCAGTAAAGCAATTATAGTTATAGTCAATTACATTAAAAATAATCTGTAAGAAAGGCCCATCTATGAAGACCAGACTTATCTTACCATGAACAAAAATTTATGAAATACACTGAGTAAAAACAATTGCAACAATGAAAAGATTGTTAACGAAAGATTAAAAAATTTAAGATTGAATTCGACAATATTTAGGGGTGTATATTACCCCCCCCCCCCTCTCCGGGAGGAAATAAATGATCTGGATAACATGAAAAATTTCCCACAAAAAGGCAAGTTTATTATCCTTTTTTATTCTTTTGACCCAAAATTGAATCTATTTTCAAAAATTCAGCAAATGAAAGCCCCCCGCCAAAAAAAATCGCATTCCTTGTATTTTCTCGTAACTTCTGAAAAAAAATTCATTTTCAAAAGGAGGGGGCGGGTGGGGGGATATTTTTTTAAGAATATATAATTTGACACCTACTCCCCCGAACCTTTGAAAAATGCAAAAGTAGGATTGTATTCTTTATTCTGTAAATGCATTACTATCAAGTGTACAAGATGTACAATGGTACTCATATATACTTTCTCGCCTTTTTACCGAGCTTGGTCGTAAATTACGATTTTAGCTATTTTTTCCTAAAAAGTCGACCCAGTCAACTTAAAATCTCAAAACCAAGTTCCCCAATCAAAACTTGAGACAAATCGGTCCAGGTGTTCATGAGTTATGATCGGACATCCAAAGGCACACAACAAGATTACTATTTTATATATTTAGAACATACCTTGTATTTCTGTATTTTCCAGCTTTATTTCTATTTCATCTTCAGGTATAACAACAAAACATGTTTCCTCTACAGTAGAGCTTATCTCAAACTTCTTGACATCTAATTCTTTCTTCATAATCTCTGTCATTTTATCTGAAAAATAAATAGAGCATATAAATGATGACTGATGACACCATTTCCAGCATTGAAAATATACATATTAGATTCTTTGCAGAAAGTATTTTTTACTTTATATTTTTGAAGCCCCCCACTAGGCACTTTACAAAAATGTCCTATATCCATAATTTATTTCTGGAAACTTGAACATAATTTATGCAAGAATTATTCACGTGCACTGGAGAAAAAAATTGTTTTCACTTTAAAGTTCATTTTTTTAAAACCTAATGAATTTTTTTAAATTTATTTTTTTCAAATTTTAAAGTTTTTCAAATTCTGAAAAAATGAGTTACAAATTTTGTTTTATGAAAAAAAGGAAATTTTGTTTCCATTATAATTGTCACAAAATTGTCCCATATGTTCTGAAATGACACGAATATTTGAAGAAAAAAAGTACCATATCATGTTGGGTCCTATTACAAAATAAAATCATCATTTATACACTGAACTTTACAGCGAAATTTAATTATGAATTATCTTGTCACGATTATGAATTAATACGTGAGAGCATCAAATTTATTGTGGCAAAACAAGAAATATAAAAATTCTTTGGAAGGTGGAATTATCTTATATTGATTAAAGAAAAATACCAATTAGATTATTATTTTTTTTAAAAATAATAATCTAGGAATTTGGTAACGACGCCATTCATAAAATAATGAGAAAAGGTAATCTATACTTTGCTTGTCAGTTGCTATCCACTAAACGTCAAAATGGCTAAACCGATCAGGTCAACATTCTTTGTGGAACCTCACGTGACCCGAGGTAAGGTTAATAGATGACTGAATTTTCAAAAATTGCCTCCAACAAAATTGGAATTTCATTAAATTTTTTAAAAATTTAGATCCACAATATTTTTGATGAAATCTGCAAACTTGTTTGTTTTGTTTTACAATGTACACATGTTTAAACATGTTCACAATTGAAATGGAAGATGGACCCGAAGCGCCCTAAAAGCCTAGTATATAATATTTAAAATATCTAAGGACTTAAGCCAGTTCATAACGAAACTCCCTTGAAAAAAAAGATTAATCCTTGTGTCTCATTAGACCCTGTACTGGAGGTGCAGCATATACAGTATACACATTAATAGCATGGACATTTCACTCCTTTGTGTAAAATTTCAACATGTCTATTCAATTTGACTCCTCTAGCAGCCAACTCACATTAATAGCGTGGATATCTCACTACTTTGTGTTAAATTTCAACATCTCTTCAATTTGTCTACTCTAACTACAGCCAACTCACATTAATAGCATGGATATCTCAGTCCTTCATGTTCACTTTCAACATATCTTCAATTTGTCTTCTCTAGCCTTCAGCCAACTCACCTTAATAGCATGGCTATCTCACTCCTTCATGTCGATTTCAACATGTCTCTTTATTTTGTATGCTCTAGCTGCAGACAACTCACATCAATAGCAAGGATATCTCACTCCTTCATGTTACTTTCAACATGTCTCTTTATTTTGTATGCTCAAGCTGCAGCCTACTCACATTTATAGCGTGGATATCTCACTCCTTCATGTTACTTTCAACAAGTATCTTTATTTTGTATGCTCTAGCTGCAGACTACTCACATTAATAGCATGGATAAATCACTCCCTCATGATTGATTTCAACATGTTTCTTTATAACTTAATACTTTGTGTTAAATTTCAACATGTCTTCAATTTGTATACTCTAGCCTGCAGCCAACTCACCTTAATAGCAAGGATATCTCACTCTTTCATGTTACTTTCAACATGTCTCTTTATTTTGTATGCTCTAGCTGCAGCCTACTCACATAAATAGCATGGATATCTCACTCCTTCATGTTACTTTCAACATGTCTCTTTATTTTGTATGCTCTATCTTAAGACAACTCACATTAATAGCATAGATATTTTACACTCTTTCGTGTTTACTTTCAGAATGTCTTTTTAATGTGTCTACTCTAGCTTCAGCCAACTCAAATTTAAGCAATTCGTGTAGCCTTTTAATATGTCTCTTCAATTTGTCTCCTCTAGCTGCAACCAACTCACATTGAAAACAAGGATATCTCGCTCCTTCATGCATACTCACATTTAGAACAGGGAAATCTCACTGATCCTGCGTGTTTAATTTTAACATGTCTCTTCATGTTGACTGCTCTAGTAGTAGCAAACTCACATTGAAAAGAAGGATCTCTTGCTTCTTTGTGTTTAATTTCATTGCTAATTCTCAGACTAAGACTCAGACTCAGACTAATTCTCTCCTATGTGCTTACTCTTAAAACGTGCGTCACTTCAAATCCCTGCATTAGTTGCAGCATATGAACATTTAGAACGAGGATATTTCTTGGTGTATATCTGCGCTCATTATTATGTATACACTAGGCTTTTAGGTCGCTTCGCGCCCATCTTCTTGTTCCACTTTAAATTGTGGCTTTATCTGTGAGCATCTTCTCTTTATACAGAATAATTTTTTTTTAATTTGCCGATTTTATAATATTTTTTTGCGCAATATTAAAATTTTACAAAACTATAAGGATAAAAATATTTTAAGATTACATGTTTAAAGTCTGATTGGCTATAAACCTTCCCTGGGGCCACGAGAGTTCCCACACAAAATTTGGGCCTGATCGGTTCAGCCGTTTTGACGTTTATTGGATACAAACAAACAGACTCCCAGACAAGCTAAATTTACATATGATATATAAATATTAATCTAATAAATATTTATTAATTATATATATATATAAATATATATGTAAGCTATGGCTGGCCAAACGACTGGACAGAATTGCCAGAAATTTTTGGAGGAAACCCATTGGTATCCTGGGGTCACATAGGCTGAAATAAATTCCGCGGGCCCTTCAGCTGGTTTTTTTTCTTCATGTAATCAGCTCTGGTTTCTACGAAGCCACAATCATTACAATCGTATCTTACTTTTGTATGTTTATTTTCAACATATTTATTCCAAAAGATTGTTTTATGTTGCCACGTGGTCACAATCATTACAAGTTTGCTCTCAAATGATTTTCTCTAATAGCTACTCACAATAACCACAATAGATCTAGTCTACAGGATCAAGGCTAGAGGATCCAATCCTTGATCCAAGTTTTCTTCGAACAAAACTTTTGTATAAACCAATGTTCAATATCAAATATAAGGGCCTAGAAATTTCTCTATAGTCTTGACCTGCATTTTTTAAAGAGAGGGGACTCCACACCAATATTCACGGGAAGGGGGGGGGGGATGTCCCCAATTTTTGAGAAGGAGGCTCGTAAATATCGAGGAGGAATGATATCTTTCTTGATAAAAAATATCTTTTTTTGAGTAATCTTTATCTATTTCTTCTTTAATCATCTCTGATATTCTATCTAAAATTTAAAAAAAAACGTTTTGAAAAATTGTAAAAGTTCGTTAGAGCATAATTCAGTTGATTAATCAGATTTTAACTGGGGTTTAAGACGGAGAGGTTAGAAATAACAACATTTATAGTGTTGTTAGCAAAACTGTTTGTTCTAATCATTTGGATTTCTGACACTTTTCAAATTTTGACACAAAAACGAGCAAATAATGTTGCAAAATCGAACGTCATACAACGATTATGTTTGGATTTATTTCTGTTTTTGGAGAAAGAAACTGCAAATTGTACAACAATTGAAGCAAGCTCAAACAGAGTGTTTTTATATTTTACTAGGCTTTTAGGGCGCTTTGAGCCCATCTTCTTTATGTCAATTGTAAAACAAAAACAAACAAAAAGTTTTGCAGATTAAAAAAAATTTATGAATTTTCAAAATTTTCAAAAATAGAATTTGAATGGAGGCAATTTTTAAAAAATTCCATCATCCATAAACCTTCCCTGCCGGATCACATGAGGTCCAACACAAAATTAGGGCCTGTCGAGGTTCAGCCGTTTTGACGTTATTGGTTACAGAGAATACAGACAGACAGACAAAGCAACGCATATAGAATAAAAACGAACCAAAATGATCAACAACACTTCTACAAGCTGTATCGACAAATGTTGGCATAATTTCCTAGAGATGTTTGGCACCCTCCCCCCCCACCTATGCCGCCCCAGAACACCCAAATTATTTTCGATTTTGTTTACAAACTTAATTATCTTAAAAAATGAAACCGGTACAGATCAGCTGATTTTGAGAAGATACAATATGATGGGTACATTTAGACCTACGCAATTCCGCTATATTCCACTTCTGACCTACGCCAAATCCGCTAAACTTGCACGTCCAATCTACTAGCACGTGGTTTTAAAGCTGCTGTATGACTTATGGCCTCAGCACCCGGCCCCCTAGCCTGTCTTAGCCACGGCACTCGGCCCCCTTTACCCTAGGTCAGCTGGCCGCGCACACTCGTCCCAGAAATTGTGTTAACCTAACCTAACCCTCAAATAATACAAAAGTAAACAGCTGACATAGGTACGATATTGCAGTAGGTCGGAAAGTTTGTAGGTCATAAGTTCAGTAGAGGGGATGTTGCGTATAGACGATGTAACATTACCGACACAATGAGCAGAATCTTATAAGACGACATTCAGACATCTCTATGAACAAATAAGATCAATTATCATTATCGGTGCAGATTTTCGTAATCGTTTGAAGACAGTTGAACTATACTGCCATTTTGGGCCATTTGAACCATTGATCGTTTAAACTACTAATATGACGTCACATCCAGTAGTTCAAAATATTTGCTCATTTCAACGTTTTCTTTGAAAATCATCAGTTTTTTAATTGGTGAACTGCATTTGAACCAAGCTGCCGGGTTTGAACTATATAAGATCATTTGAACTATAATTGATCGTTTGAACTATTGTTCATTCTAACTACCATGATTATAACGTCATTTCCTGTAGTTCAAACACATGCATTATTTTAAGTTATGTAAAAAAAACTACAGGGGGGGGGTCAAATTGACCCCCCCCCCAGCAGGAATAGGGTTAATAAATCTCAATTAGGCAAACTTTTACCTAAGTTATCTTCTTGATTAATTACTGGAAGGAAGGCAGACAAGATTAGAACTTGCTTTAGTTAGGTAATACATTGTATCTTATAATTTTCTGTTAACAATTTATTTTTAATTTTAATTTTTTTCACAAAATTTGAAAAGAGCAGTGAATTTTTTTCTCCGATCGTTGTATCTTTTTTATCTAATCATACATCTATTTCCTGTTCTTCTCTTATGATCTAAATATTCTAATCTCTTGATTCATACTATATATTAGGTGTTTAAGGTTAACTTCAAACACAATTTCCTCAATATCCTTGCAGGTTGAAAAAAGTCACTGCCCCAAGCAGGGTTTGAAAATTACGAGGATATTCATTGTGTCATAATTCCGCCTTAAAAATGACAAATGGGATAAGAAAAGTTCGAAAAGGAGTGGCTATTTTCAACAAAAAATCTTGATTCTTGAAAGTTCATCCAAGACACAGTGCTTCAGAATACGGCCTCGTCTACGGCAATCTTATCCTTGCAACCGGCAGAGATAAACTGGTATCACAGTGCATGGTGCTCAACCTATCAAGATTCTACTTTCTATGTTTCCATTTTCCTTGTTTCTGGCAATAGGGAAGGGGAAGGGTATAAGGGGAGGAGATAAACCCCCCCCCCACCCTTTCTGCAATATTATTTTCTATTTTTACGAGTAGGGTGTACGTAATGCCATGTTATTCCACACAGGGTTCTGTCCAGCCACAAGAAACTGGAGAGAGATCATTAAGAACCTGACTGTTCTGAACTCCTTTGATGCTTACACATATAGAACCAGATTCAATCGAAAGAATTAAGGTCTTTTCAATGAGTTCAGATAATAATAACAGTTAACCAGGCTTGTTCTTAAGGAGTATAGTTAAAACAGCAAGTAGCAATACTTGATCCAGCTAGGTATAAAACTACCATTCTCCAGGTTAATACAGCGTTAAAAGATTGCAGCCTTCAATATTTCTTGTAGTTCTGTTGTTTGTTTTTCATTTGTGTGCAGGGGTGTATACCCCCCTATACAACCCTGGCTAAAGTTTTTCTAGTTTGCCATTTTCTCTCTCTCACACTGTATCTCTGAGTACTCTTTGAAGAGCCAAAGCCAGTTGTTTCTCCTCTGAAAGCTAGATGCATACTGTATTTTATAAATAAATATCATGGAATTGGAATTGGTAAAATTAACCCTTCTTTTAAACCATGCAAGCCGAAAATAATGGTAAATAAAAAGGGATATAATACTTGTATATTAAAGTTTTTTTATTTCAAACTTTATTTTTAACAAAACTTTAAACTATTTGGATAATATTTCAAAAGGGGGCCCCCTTGTGGCGATGGAAAGTTTATTTAGGACCTCAATATCTAATATCTTAATCTGAATTTCTGTTTATGTATGGTAAATGTCGATTTGATTTAAAAAGCAGATAAAAAAAGTTTGTTTAAAAATACCCATTTGAAAAGAGTTTCGGATGATAATCATTAAAAATCATAAAGCTCTTTAAACTTTATAATCTTGATTATGTTTTTGGTAGATTGCAAATAGATACATATGCAGATTGAAACTTGCATTCTTTGTCAAAAGAAAACATTTTCTTATACTTTTACTGCAGTGGAGTGTATTACTATCAGTTTGATAATATAGTTCATGTTAAACCCCAATTTTTTAAAATCTTTCATCTTTCATGTAAAAAAAAAATTGAAAATAGAAAACCTAGTTTGTAATTATGCTGTACAGTTATGACCACAAATTTATCATTATTCATCCTTTGCTTTGAGCTGATAGATTGCTATTTTAATATATAATTTTACACTTAGATTAAGCTGGCAGGATGAAGTTTCGGAAGGTCCTATCGCTTCTAGCTCTCCTATTCAACCTTGACACAATATTGGCTGGATGTACGATGGAAGAGGAGGAGAATAAATGGAATATTATTCACTGGATTTCAAGGATTATCAAATTATATGTAAATTTGTATTTTTTCGACTCAAAGAAGTTCATAGTAAGATTTTGATTCTACTGGAGACCACCGGAGGGATTTTATTTTCACTGGAGGTGTTTAAAAAAATGCTTTTTAAAATTCAAAACTTTAAGCAGGATGAATTATATTCCACTGGATGGATTCAGATATCTTTCCAGGGGGGTTATAATTCCACAGGAGGGATTCAGATATCCTTCCTGGGGGGTTATGATTCCACTGGAGGGATTCAGTTATCCTTCCAAGGGGTTTATAATTCCACTGGAGGGATTCAGTCCTTCCTGGGGGGTTATGATTCCACTGGAGGGATTCAGTTATCCTTCCAAGGGGTTTATAATTCCACTGGAGGGATTCAGATATCTTTCCTAGGGGTTTATAATTCCACTGGAGGGATTCAGTTATCCATCCTAGGGGTTTATAATTCAACTTGAGGGATTCAGATATCCTTCCTATGGGTTGATAATTCCACTGGAAGGATTCAGTTATCCTTCCTCGGGGTTTATAATTCGACTGGAGGGATTCAGATATCTTTCCAAGGGGTTTATAATTCCACTGGTGGGATTCAGATATCTTTCCAAGGGGATTATAATTCCACTGGAGGGATTCAGATATCCTTTCAGGGGGTTTATAATTCTACTGGAGGGATTCAGAAATCCATCCTAGGGGTTTATGATTCTACTGGAGGGATTCAGTTATCCCTCCAGTGGAATTATAAACCCCCTAGAAAGATTTCTGAATCCCTCCAGTGGAATTATAAACCCCCAGGAAAGATATATGAATCCCTCCAGTGGAATTATGAACCCCTAGGAAAGACATCTCAATCCCTCCAGTGGAATTACAAACGCCTAGGAAGGATAACTGAATCCCTCCAGTGGAATTATTACCCCCTGGAAAGATATCTGAATCCCTCCAGTGGAATGTAAATCACCCTGGGTAAAGTTTTAAATTGTAAAAAGCATTTTTTCAAACCCCTCCAGTGAAAATGAATTCCCTCTTTTCCCTTTTTTCCTATTTTTTTTTAATTTATTTTTTTTTATTCTAAGGTTATTTCTTAGTATAGACTTGTCCAATCGACCTTTAGCCCGATCGATAAAGCCAGTTTCTACACTTTCCCATGAAGTTAGAAATTCCAAAATCTGTTATAAACCTAGATTTAGATGCATTACATGTGTAAGTATTCATAATTTTTTTTATGAGTTTGATAATTATCTGTAGAAGAGTGAAGGGAACTGCATCTTGTGTAACAATGTATGTGGGGTAAGTTTTTTTAATTTTAATCATAACAAATTGTGTTTCATAATTTTATGAACATTTCCCCAAGAATGGAAATATTAATGAAAATGTAAAGTGACTTTTCTAAATAGAAAAAACAAAAGTAAACTCTTTTTCAGGGTTGAAAATGTAGTGAGTGATGGAGATCTACAATTAATTCTAAAGAATGTGACAGATCTTGAAATTTTCAAACCAGCCATAGAATTCACCAAGTGTATTATAATCATATCAAATGAGGTATTTGTATCAATAACTGTTACCCACAATTGTTATTTTAAAAAACTGCATGAAATGAATCTGATATTTGGTGTGCCTTTTTTAGCACTTAAAGGGAGTGTTCGCGAAAAATGAAAGGGGGTATAGGCTTAATGAGATAAAAAAGTGCTTTTTATCGCTACTAATCTTACTTATATCTGTTGCGTCTATAAGGAGAAAATTGTTAAAAACGTCTCATACCGAATAACTTAGCGTTATACAAATTGAGAAAATTGCAACATACGACTTAGACCGTAAAAAAATCAATTTAATTTCAAACAAATCATTCAGATATTACAACCTAAAGTCATCGATTATCTTTCGCCTCATTTGTATATAGTTGATTTTTTTTAATATGTTTTAATTGTTATGATCTGAGAGTTACTCATAAAAACATTTATTCCTGTTTTGAGGATTTTTGGTAATGAAGACGACATTTTCATATTTTCCTGGAATGTTCGAAAACAAGTTGTAAGCTAAATATTATTTTAAAAAACAAAATTAAAACTAGTATAAAAAATCAACTATGTACAAATGTGGCGAAAGATAATCGATGACTATAGGTTGTAAATGTAATATCTGAATGATTTGTTTGAAATTAAATTGATTTTTTATGGTCTAAGTCGTATGTTGCAATTTTCTCAATTTGTATGGACACTAAGTTATTCGGTATGAGACGTCTTTAACAATTTTCTCCTTACAGACACAATAGATAGAAGTAAGATTAGAAGCGATCAAAACCGGTTTTTTTATCGCATTAAGCCTATACCCCCTTTAATTTTTCGCGAACACTCCCTTTAAAAGTAAAATGGGATTTTAATTCTTTAATAAGATCTAACAAATAAATTTATTTACTTTTTTTTGTTGAATGTGAATAATAATCAATAACAATATGGACAATTCACCTCAATCATTTTAATGTTCTTTTAGGTTGAAGTGCGTAATCAAGTTGTAAACTTGAACTATCCCCTAACACTTTTCATTCTTCTGCAAGATAATTTGGCTCACCATTCGAATCCTTTAGGGAAAAAAAAATTTAAATTCATTTTTTAGGATTTTAAAATTGCTGTAATATTCAATTTAAAATGGTTATCTGTTTAGAGTTATCACGCTTTATGATAATTACAAAATGTCCACTTGCCTTTACTTATTGGTAAGTGAATCTTAAACCATTGGTACTGCAATCTAGGAATCCCATTGATTACAGGGATATACATAAGCAGAAGTTTGAAGGTCTCTGGTCAACCTATTACTCTACTGTTGTTTACAGAGGAGAACCTATTACAAGAGAACCTGACTCATTCTTTAACCAAACATTCAGGTCATCAACTTATAGTGTAATAAATTATAAATTTTATAATGTTAGAAAAAGTATGATTTAAGTTTAGATTTTATTGATCAGAGCAGAGGTCTCAAACATTTGTGGGCTGAGTAATGTTAATTTTGCATGTTTGAAGAATTAAACTAAATCTGTAGATCTGTATAAGCGATGGAATTCAATGCCATTCAAGACAAGAAATATTTCTTTCTTAGTTATTTAATCACTATTTGTATTCTTTAAAAATTTGAATAATTGCAGAGTTGGGTATAATGATTACAGTTGGTGTTTTTGGTATGATAACTTCACATCAGATCACTTTCGCATTGACAAAGAAACCTATGAAGGTTATTATTTGATACCATTTATCGGTGAGCTAAATTTTTTAATAAAAATGCAAAGAAAATTTAAAATTATAAATTATAACACTTATAGAAACACATGAGTTGCAAACTATCTTTATCAATGGTAATGATACCTGGGGACATATTGATGAGGAAACAGGGAAGTGGACAGGAGTTGTAGGAATGGTAATTCTGAAATAATAATAATAAGAAAAAAATAAATATTTTCTTATGTTTTTCTATAGGTTGGCTATGGTAAAGCAGATGTTGGTGTTTCTTGCATTGGATACACATATGAAAGGCAATTGGTTTTATTATATTTTCTACAAGATTTTCATTGGTTAGTCTTTTTAGCTGTGAGCATTCTTTAGCCATGTGATAAACCTAAAGATAATTTTGATGACAAACCATCAAATTTTTTTTTTGTCAACTTAATATAATATAGAGTTCTCACATTGCTTGAGTAAATTTTGAAATTAAATTTTGATTTTAAAACCCTCCTACACTAAAGATCAGCAATTATTGATGGGTCTTCTCCTTTATTTGAAGGTTCAACTACTGGCTGGAAAACAAAGGTATTAAGGCTTCCCCTTAGATGAAAGTGTATGCCTTTCTTTTCAGTAAAGAATTGCATATTTGAACCTTTACAATTGATGATGTATTTAAAACAATTGTTTTAAGAAATGGTTATTTAAAAAGAATATTGTTTTAAAAAAATGATTCTGAATAAAAAATATTTGCCCCAAAAAAGAAATTTCAGATTTCCCACATGCAAAATTGCCCAAACTGAATTAATGGCCCACCAAAGTTAAGATTCCCCCCAAATATAAAGATTAAAGATTTTTTCCCACACAAATTTTCCCCCCAATGAAAAAGAATGCCCCCAAATTGAAAAATTTGCCCCCCAAAATAAAGATTAAAAAATTCCTCCACACAATTTTATACCAAATTGAAAATAGTGCCCCTAATTTTAAAAATTTGCCCCCAAAATATTCTTGTGATAAAGTGAGAGTCTCAAGAAATTCCTGAGAATTTCTCAGAAATATTTGCCGGAGAAATTCATGAGAGTTTCTATAGAATATTTTTCTGGAAATTCTACCTTTCGTCCTGTGTAGGAGGGAGATATAAAATATATCTGACACTATCTACATACCATCTCTGCCATTTTGTAAGGCAGGGAAATCTATTCATCAGCAAGCATTTAGGAAAGATGGTCGAAGCTCTTATGCCTCTGCCAGAATTGGCGGATGATCCCGCTAAGTGTTCACTGTTTTTCCAACCTCTCTGTGTTTTTGTATACCTTATCTTATTTGTAATATTTGTGTACATATAGTTGAAGTATATTCAATTATTAAGTTTCTGTGAGCAAGTTTCTTTATTACTATAGAATAAAATTTGATGGAATGGAAGGTTACATTGAAACTTTAGATGTTGCTTAGATTTTCTCCTTACTTTTTTTTACTTCAAGCATTTAAATGCAAAATGATGAAATTTAGTTAAAATAATATCATATTTCAGATTAAAGTAGATTTGTTTTCTTTAATTTTCTTCATTCATTTAGAGCTCTAAATTTTAATGAGTTTTTTAATATATTTCTGATGCCAGATTTTAGCATGTGGGTAGTCCTTATTCAGGACTGATTCAGAAAAGGGTAAACAGTCCCTGAAATACACTGAGGGATCTAGATATGAGGCAGTGCAACCCAAGCAGTAGCAGTAGACACAAGTCTCCTTCACATTACCACTCTGGGTCCTGTGCTTTATACAGTGCACAGATTATTTAGAGTTAGGGTGAGTCCCCTTGAAAATGAGCAAAGAGAGACCAGTAATTAGGAAGCTAGTCTACCTTGAGAGCTCTGAAGATGATGATGAAGATGAGATAGATCCCTTAGATCTGCCTCCATTAAAGAGCTGCCTGGCTCCTATAGTTACAGCCCCAGCCTCCGAGGACAAGAGTGAGCCTGAGGACGGAAGTATCCCAACTTTGGAGACTGACCCCTCAGCCATTTAATGAATGGGCACTTACTCCGCCCCACCTCCCTAGTATCTGGGATCCTCCTGAACATCATGGAACACAGCTGCCTGAGTTCCCCCATAACACAAGGGAGGAGATATTGGAGGTCTTGTTCTTACAGGTCCAGAGGATGATGAGGTATCTGGAAGAACAGCGGTGATTTCAACAAGCCCCGGAAGATAAGGTATTATCAGAGGGTTTGACCTTCCTCCTGAGGATGGGATCCAAGCTTGCCAAGATTAAGAAGGTCTTGACAGATCCCGCTAATGATCCTATATAGGATCAGGGTTATTAACACTTTGCTATTATTGTTCTTAAAAATATTGAAACCATTAGTAAAAGAACTTAAAGGAACTAAACTGAAATTGCTTAAAAAGAACGCTTTGAATCAGGAACCTGTTATTATCAAGAACACATTTTAAGTCAGGAACGCATTTAAAATTAGGAATTCGTTCTAAATCATCTAAAAATAATTAAGAGATTTTTTTTATCCCCCCCTCCACTCTAAACCTTCCCAGCCTCCTTCTCTTGTGAGGGAGGGGATCCCCCCCCCCCCATCAGGCCCATGGCCAGGGGGTCAGGTGCATCCCCCTTATGTCTGAAAGGGGGGTGCAATGACAAATTTGCACCCCCCTAGTCCCATATAAAAGAAATGGTTTCTCATAATTTTCCAAAATCTAGTAATCAATTATATAGTCCGAGTAAGAATTTCTCAGCATCTCAATGTCAATAATAAACTCTTTTTAAACAAAATATTAGAAATTAGTATTATTTTTTATTCATCTTAATATTATCATGATGAGGCCAAGGGACAAGAAGCATTGATTTAAAATAATGCATTTGTTCCTTAAGCTAAAGTAGCATTCATTTATTTTTTATGTATATTGTATATGTAAACTTAAAAGTTTCAGACACTAATATGTAACCCTTTAAAGCTCAAATGCACTTGTTAAAAGGTTAGTCTTTAGTGTGCATTGACAATGTAATAAAAACAACCATATACCACTGTAAACACAAACCATTACCAAGCATTGTTAAAAAAAAAATGATAAAATCAGTGCACCATGTTGCACCCCCCTTGGTAATATCCTGGCTACAAGCCTGCCCTCCGCCCCACCTTCTATCTTCTTGACTAAGAACAGAACAGGGGAAGGAATGGTTTTTTGACTAAGAACACCAAGAACAGAAGAGAACGGGATGATGGTTCTTTGACTGAGAACAAAATTGGATGGAACGGAACAAGAACGAAACAATTGGGAAAAAAAGGAACAAGAAAGGAACATTCTAGCTAGAGGCCTTCGTTCTAGAATGGAACAGAATGATTTTAACTGTAATAACCCTGTGATAGATTTATTCATTTTGGTAGCAGAGCTTTTTTCGCAGTATATCCCTAGATAATTTTTGTCTTTTTAGTATCCAGAGAAAATATCTGCTACTTACAATATTTTCAAAGTAAGTATTTAAAATGTATATGAAACATTGAAATTTAAGAATGCAGAGAAACAGAAAAATTTATTTAAAAAGGTGTTTGATCTGTATACGTGGATTGCAATTCTTGTAAGGTAATTTCCTGAAAATTTTTAGAAAATAACAAATAATCTAATCCTATTTCAAATTAAGTTTAACCTTGGCCAGTCTGGTTGTGTTAGTTGTTTCTGATATTTTAAAAAGTCTTGGTTTTAAGCAGGTTGGTCAAAGCCAAATTTTAGGATCCATTTTATACCAATTAGTCGTTTTTGGTGTATGTTTTCTGAGTAAGAACAAAAAACTCTTTTGTAAAATCTCACCAGAAAGAATAATTAACCCTATTCCTGCTGCTCAAAAAGTATTGGTGTGAGGCTGTTGAAATTTTTTGACTTTTCTTACAAACCCAAAGCCCTCCCTTTAGGCCTTAGACCGGGCTTTAATACTAACTGCCTGAGTCCTCAGGCACACTGCCTGAATGACTGCTTTTGCCTGTAACAAACTAAATCTTTGTTTTGACCCACTTTCACTTGTCAGATTTTGATAAAATTTAGCTTTTTGGAAAGCCCATGACATAAGGAAACGGATTGCACAAGTTTTGCGAAAAAAATTGCAAATTTTTTACAAACAACCTGTCAAAGGAAATTTGCACATTTTTAGTTTTTCTTGATTAAAAATCAGGTTATTTAAAATTTTGCAAAAATTTTTGCATATTTAAAATGGCATGGTCAAAATGTATAATTTTTCATCTTTTGGACAAATTTTTTTGCAAACATTTTTACTATATAACTGGATTTGCGATAAAAAATTCAATTTTTGCAAATTTGCAAATTTTTTTGCAGATTCTAAAAGTAGAGCACAAAAGCTTTCTAATGATGTATAATTTGTCATATTTGGAAATAAAACATGGGATTTAGAGGGGGGGGGGGTCAAATTCACCCCCCCAGCATATCCTAGTTTTCAAGTACCCCAGCAGGGATAGGGTTAAGAGCTGGATGGAAAAGAATTGTGTTTTACGATTATTTAATAACCTGGATGGAAAATATAACAACAATTACTCTTCAAACTAATTTGCTGATTAGGATCACATTTCTTAAAGAATTATTTCTTTATCATCATTTTTTTACTGTTTCTACAATATTCTTTACAGATTTCTTTAAAAATTGTCTTTGAATCAACCTTGTGAAATGATCTAAAATAACATATTTCCAATGATGAGTTCTTTTTTTCTTAACCTGTTCCTATTTATGCCATTGGTTTTCAGTAAAATATTCTTTACATATTTTGTAACAATTTTTATTCAATAATTGTGAAACAAAAATTATACTTCTATGGACACCTCTTAATTAATCATCCCATCTGGTGAAATTTGACAGAGACGTTGTTTACTCTTATTATGAAATTACACATTGTAAAATGTCTCATTTCTGCGTGACGTGACAGTGATTATAAAGGAATTTGGTGAATTTGCCAGATTCCCAGAAATTTGGAGAATTTCCCAGATTCCCAGGCATTTGGGGAATTCCCAAAATTTCACAAATTTTAAGATTTTGGAAATTTCTCAAATTACTGGATATTTGGGAAATTCCCCAAATGTCTGGGTTTTTGGCAAATTTCATAAATAACATCAGTGAGGCATTTGAGAAATTTACTATAACTAGAAATTCAAGGCGCTTCGCGCCCTTCTTTCTAGTCTTAGAGGGCGCTTCGTGGCCATCTCCTAAATTAATTGTGAACATGTTCTCTTTGTGTACATCGTAAAACAAAACAAAAATAATTCGCGGATTTTCACAAAAAATTTCGCGGATTTTCAAAATTTTTAAAAATTTAATGACGATCGAATTTTGATGGAGACAAATATTTGAAATTTTGATGATTCATAAACCTTCCCTGGAGTCCCTAGATGTCCCACAAAAAATTTTGGCCCGATCGGTTCAGCCGTTTTGACATTTATTGGATACAAACAAACAGACAGACAGACAGACAAGCCAAATTTATATATAGATTGAAAAATAAACTGCCCTCAGATTTTCTAGAGAATTTGGGGAATTCCCCTGATTCCCAGGTACTTGGGGAATTAGTCAGATTCCCTGGTATTTGGGGAATTAGGCAAATTCTTAGGCATTTGGGGAATTTCCCAGATTCCCAGGCATTTGAGGTATTCCTGAAATTTTCCCAAATTCCTTGTGGAATTTCAGGGTGGTATTTTATTGAGATTTGGAAATTTCTTGAATGACTGGATATTTGGGGAATTCCCAAAATGTCTGGGTATTTGGGAAATTTCATAAAAAGCTAGGCATTTGAGAAATTTTCTATAATTGAAAAATAAATTTGGGGAATTCCTCAGATTGCCGGGTATTTGTGGAATTTCCCACTATTCCCAAGCATTTTGGGAATTCTTCAGATTCCTAGGTATATCGGGAATTTCCAATTTTGACCATTTTCTTAATTGCTGCCTCCATTGGCGTTAACTAAATCTACCATACCTGGCTAGTCTCTCGATCCTTTGGCATTTGTTTTAACTATACAAAATATCTTTTAAACAAAACTAAATGTTTTGTGTTTTTTTTTATAATTATATCATAATTAATTAACATTTTAAGTTCAGGTAAAACTTAATCACAAAGAATTGTTTTTAAGTGTTGGTGTAACATTATTCTTTTTTTTCCAGCCAGACCGAATAATAGTTGTTCTGATGCCCTTTTCATTGCTGAATGCTGAAGCCATGCCCGACTGGTTCCTTTTTACGCAAAAAAGAGGTCTCTACTCACCACTGAAATACTGATCTTTCTCAATTTTAAATTAACAAAAAATATTATTTAATTAGATATTTGTATGAGTGTATCAACAATTAAATGCAAAAATTTGCAAAATCTTGTGTTAATTTAGTATACTCTGGAAGTATAATGCTGATGACCTGGGCATTTGCCTCTACAATTATATCTCTGGGATTTAACAGCACACTCAGGTAAGTATCATTATCATTATCAAAAAAATGAAATATTGTCTCCTTTTTGGGGGGTAAGTTAGAAAGCAAAGCAATGGGTAAAGGAACTAAACTTGTGGCTAGAACTTTATTTCTTTGAATCCATGCATTTAAAGTGTCCCTTATGACCATATTTTTGCGAAATATCACCCCTCCAACCATCTCCACCTCAACTTTTAACTAAAAACTTCTTAAGTTATGACTGTTCTATTGCTTGTTTTTGCAAAAGTGTTACACAATGAAAAAAATATTTTGAATTTTCATTGCGAATGAAATCCCACATCCTTAATTATTCAATGGAGCACTTAGAATGAAGTATATCATTGAAATTAAGAGGGAACTGTTTCAAACTGCTAATGACAGTGACTCTATTCGAAATGGTAGTTGACTTTCATTCAGAGCAATATTACTATCTCCATCTTGGGAAACCTTTATGGACTCATCAGCTCAAATTGCAGAGAGAGAAATGGTAACTTCTTTTAATCCAACATAAAAATTATACTCACTTCCGTGCATTTTTAGACCCTTATTTGGGACCCAGAGTATAATGTCAATTATGATTTTATGATGGCATCTCCTAATCCTGACATTATGAAAATTATGAACACTGCAATTTTTGTAAACTCTACGGTACATCCTAATTTTGTTCTGTTTTGTTTTTGAAAATTTTACACAGTAATAAATTTTTAGGAAGATTTACTCGAGATAATTTCAGAAAAAGGTTTTGAAAATCTAGTTTTCTTTGTGGAAGTAAGTTGTATAATTGTAACAACTAATGCTTCTCAAAAACGTATATCTAATTCACACTGACTTCAGACACAACTTTATCTTTGTGTGTTTCTAACAAATTAAAAACACACAAACATCAATTAAAATTGCAAACCATTACCCGTAAGGAACCTTTGATCCTGTAAAGGGGTTGTAAAACGACTCGCACGACAGAATAACGAACGCCAACCAGACCTTGTATCTCTACTTAAGAGTCAAGTGGTTTTTAGACTGTTACAACCATGAATCCGTCCCTGTTCAATTCGCTTGGTATCATGTTACACATGTGAAAGTTCCGAGCAGGGGGTCTCTTATGTTCGTCCGTATTTATTATCGTGAGTATGTTTGGCTGTTATCCACCCCCCACCCCACCCGTTGGCTCAGGACGTCATCTTGGTATGTCTTTTCAGGACATCTAGACCCTGTCGTGTATTTAAAAAACGGTTATGTATTCCCCCCCCCCCAATAAAAAATCCCCCCCAAAAAAAATTTCTCTTACTGACTGACGTCTTCTAGAACGTCCTGCTGGTTTGTACAGGACTCTTTCAAGACGGGGTTTACCCAAAAATAAAAAAAATATTTAAGGAGGGTAAAAACTGCCCCCTCACAAAAATTTTTTTTAGGGAACCTGTGTTCACCTTGTAGGGTTTCCAGTAATTACACGTAACACTTTCTTTCACTTAAGCAGGAGCATAACGCGTAATTACGCGTTTATTACGTTTACAAAAGAAATTCTAGTTTCGCGTAATTAATGCGTAATTGCGCGAAATTATGTAATACGAAACAATTCCGTAATAAAAAAGTACATATTAACCCATTAGTGACGGGACGGTCAATTTTGACTGGGTAAGGTTTTTATTTTTTAGCGCCTTCATTTTTAAACCAAATGTCGTCTCGTTTTATTCCAGATCCTTCCTACATAGCCGAGACGGACAAAATTGACTGCTTCCTGCTGCAGACGGTCAAAATTGACCCGGTCAATTTTGACCGATGCCGAGACGGACAAAATGTGCTGGGTTTTGTATCTCCACAACCCTTCATTGAAAAAAAATTGAAACTATAGATCTACACTCTATGGACAGTATAATGAGTTAACCCTGTGAATTTCAGCAAGATCAGAAAGAATTATTTGTCTCATCACTAATGGGTTAATTCTCAGAAATAATTATAGCGGCCCAGCTAACATTAAATCTTCGCCAGAGTTGGTTTTCTGCCATCGTAAATGCGATGGCGGGGGGTATACTGTACCGCAATAGTATATACTATATGTCCCCGCTATAGTGCAATTGTCGCAGTTTCGATGGCGGGGAATTCTGAACCTCTGTAGTAGAAACAAAATTTTCCCCGCCATAGTATAATTGTCGTATATACGACTTCGGAAATTCTCAACCGCTGTAGTATATATACAAAATTTTCCCCGCCATAGTACATCTGTCGTATATACGACTTCGGAAATTCTGAACCGCTGTAGTATTTACAAAATTTTCCCCCCCATAGTAACCTGTCGCAGATACGATGAATACACTGCTGTAGTAGTAAATCCGACAGAGTAGACTAAATTAACGATATCAGATATATTAACCGTTATTTCATGTATCGGCAAGGCTTCGAATAGATCAGTATTTGTCCATCCTCTCAAGGAGAAACATATGTAGAAACTTAAAAGTAATAGAAATGTCCACAACTGAGGCTTTTATAAAATAAATAAATTAAATTAGATTATAACAAATTAAAATATATAGTTTAAACATTTGTGATAAATCTTTATTTATTTTAATGAACTATGCATCTACTTTTTCAAATTTCTTCTTTAGGATCCTTAAAATAAAACATACACTTATATGTTATAAAATTAAAGATTTAACAAAAATGTTTAAACTATATATTTTAATTTGGTTTATAATAGATATTGGTAGGATTGGGTAGAGAATAAAATGAAAAGGAATGTACAGAATATTAAAGTTATTTTAATCATATCTAAAATAGATATTTATTGTTTGCTTAAAAAAATTTGTTAGAAAATAAACTGAGCAGAATATTAGGCCTATTAATACCCCTCCTTTTTACCAAGTTGTTCCTTTTAGAAACACTTTTTCATGCAATAAAATGAAACGTAATTTTTCTGTTGGCGAAAAAGTTTCAATTCAATTTTGGTTTTTTATTTATAATTTCAAGTGTTATGAAATTCAATACACAAAACTAAATATGAAACATAACCACTAGGTACAACTAGCGGTTTAATTCTGAATCGTTTTCTTATATGTCATGCAGGGACAGGGCTGTATTGATTGAAGAAAACTCCCACTTACCAAACCAAACACAGTTTACCATGCCCATTACACAGATTTTCATGCCATCTATTGTTGATTTATAAAGTTTTGTCCATCTTCTTATTTTAATCTACAGAGGTTTGGTCCATCACCATTACCAAATTTTAAATAAATTAAAGAATTGTTTTTAAAAACAACCAATTAAAACAGGCGTTAAAAATTCTGGAATTCACATTTAAATAAAGGTCAAAAATTTCTGTTCTTCATTTATTAAGCGGCCATTTGTAGTAATCTGGAAAGAATTATAATACAAATATAATCTTCTACCTTAGGTCAAGTGCAGCTCCCAACTCTTACCGATTCATAAATCAGACTATTAACATAACATAGCCTGATAAATATATTCAACTCTGAATAGCTAGTTATAGATATCTATCTTAGCATAGACAAGCAAGGATATATAATTCTGCATAGCTAAACCCAATACATAGCTCCGCAAAGTTAATAGCTCCGCAAAGCTAAATAAGGTTAATCTAACTAAGATCTAACTCTGTATAGCTAGCTATAAATATCTAGCTCTACATCAACAGACTAGAATATATAGTTCAACACAGCTAAACCCAATACATAGCTCTGCAAAGTTAATAGCTCCGCGAGTTAATAGCTCCGCAAGTTAATAGCTCTGCAAAGTCAATAGCTCCATAAAGCTAAATAAGATAGCTCTGTAACATAAGGGGGGTTATTGGGGTTATTTACCCCCCCTAGAATCCTGGGGGTAAATACCCCCCCCCCTAGAATCCTGGGGGTAAATACCCCCCCTAGAATCCTGGTGTTAAATCTCCCCCCTAGAATTCTAGGGGTAATTACCCCTGAACATATTTTCAGGCCCTGAATAGCAGGGGTTACTCCATTTGCTGCCTCTACAAGTAACAGTTCCAGTTGCCTTGACCCCTTCCCTTCAAAAAAAAATACATTCCCTATTGATTAGTCTGCACTTGTGTAAAGACGACTATTTTCATGATAGTAAAAGTTTTTGNAGTTTTAAAATAAAACACTGAACTTGATTTAAGTATGCAGTTAAAATAAAAATTTCAATTTTAAAATGGATATGGATATGATTGACCATGTGGCCGCAGCGCTCGGCCCCCTAGCCTGTCCTAGCCACAGCCCTCAGCCCAGAAAGTGTCTTAACTAACCTAATCCGTGGCCGGAGCGCTCGGCCCAAAAAGTATCTTAACCTAACCTAACCCTAAATATTAACAAATAAATACTAATATTAATTTCCTCATGTACAAAAGTGATAGGATGGGGGAGGGGGGGGGGCCAAAATTTGTTCACTAGGACAGACCCAGCTTACCTGTAAATTATTTCATTCTGCACTGGTTTCATAGAGTTAACGCATTGTAAAAATTTGTCATTGTCCATGAAAAATAATCGATTAATTATATACATTAGTTATTCATTTCAAAAACTGAACTAATAATGAAGATAAAATTATTGAGTTAATTAATAACTGACTGAATTGCACTGTTTGATTTGAATTTTGAATTTTCCCTCTCAGTGCGTTGTTTATAATACTTTGTGGACGCGGCATTCTTAACTTCGTCTTCAAAAAACAATGTCGTCTTTGATATGGACTTAGCCTCGTTTTCATGAACAGAGTATACCCTGTAAATATTAAGATTATTTCCAAGTTTGAACGTCAAAATATGTACATATAATACTCGATTTTAGGTTTTGATAAGTTATTTAGTGTTTTAATTTGCCCTNGTCTAATCCATTGTGGGTAACTCTGGATCTGAAAGGGATGATAAAGTAATTTAATCCTGACATTTACCCAAAATTTAGATTGGCCCGAACCAATCTACAATCCGAAGAATGGTTGGAGTAACCGGGATGCGAGTAGGTTTAATCACAGGGTGTAGTAAATCAACATTTTTCTTTCCAGTGAGAATTTGGTTTACAAGATCAGATCTGATATTAGGAATTTGCAATCCTTTGGTAAGGTGCAATTGGCGAAGGCCAGCTAAGTAAGAATTAATAGTGGAAGCACTGAGATTCCTGCCATTCAACCATGAAACAAAAGTCATAATATAAGATTCAGGAATTGGGAAAGGAATGTCCTGATCTTTAAAACATAGTTTAAGCATTTTTGTTGCTGTTTTGTAGGAAGACCAGGTTTGTTTAGATAGTGAGTGGTTGGCTAAAGCGCTCAAAGAGCTGGCCACAGCAGGTTGTAGGTTAAATTGCGAAAATGTAGAGGGAGAGAAAAGTCCAGCTGGGCCATATTTAGAAGAACCAGTAATTTTGGCTGGGATAAAAGTCGGTAGGCTGGCAGCTGAAAGAGCAATAGATTATCAAAAGAAATGTAAGAAAAAGAAATAGTTATGCATTAAAGGATATATATAATTGTAACAGAGAAGTAGGATAACAAAATAGTTATGCATAAAGGATATAAATTGTAATAAAGCTGTAGGATAATGATGGGATATGACTGTAATATCTATCTGGGATAATTGAAAGACTGGGATAATATATAGGTGTTATGATATCCACCTGGGATATGACTGTAAAATCCACCTGGGATAATATATAGGTGTTATGATATCCACCTGGGATATGACTGTAATATCCACCTGGGATAATATATAGGTAATTCGATATCCACCTGGGATAATATATGGTTAAAACGATATCCATCTGGGAAAGATTGTAATATCCACCTGGGATAAAATATTGTTAAATTGATATCTCCCTGGGATAAGACTGTGGTATAATATATGGTTAAAACGATATCCATCTGGGAAAGATTGTAATATCCACCTGAGATAAAATATTGTTAAATTGATATCTCCCTGGGATAAGACTGTGGTATCCACCTGGGATAAGATAGTAATATCCAGCTGGGATAATAAATTGGTGAGTCGATATCCCCTTGGGATAAGACTGTAAAATCGATAATATATAGTTAACGATATCCATCCGGGACAAGAATGTAATATCCACCTGGGATAATATATAGGTAAATAGATATCCCCCTGGGATAAGACTGTAGTATCCACCTGGGATAATATATAGGTGGATTGATATGCCCCTGGGACAAGACTGTAGTATCCACCTGGGATAAGATAGTAAAATCCAGCTGGGATAAGAATATGGGAGTGGATATCCACCTGGGATAAGACTGTAATATCGACCTGGGATCATATTAGTAAAGTAGGTGACACAATAATAAATGATAACAACATTAATAAATATAATAAGTACAAGGGAAAAGACTTAGAATTTGTAAAGCTAAGGACGTTGGGCAGAAGGAAAAGAAATAATTAAGGAAATAAACAAAATAAGAAACCCAACCTTGAGACGGAAGGTCCGTAGGAGGAACAGTAGAGGCCTCTGGCCAGAGAAGAAGGGGGAACCTAACTTGTAGAGCTCCAGGTCCTCTTTCTAGTAGGTCATCAACCCTCTGTTGAAAGGTAAGAAGGTTGGCCTTGACATCAGGTTTAATAGCCGTTCTGAGGAGCTTACTGAGGGCGACTCTAACTCTTAAGCCAGAAGGAAAGCCTGGCGCATCATCCCAGCTAGCTCCAGGGAACACAGCCGGAGCTAGGGGGAAGCCCCAAGGAGCAGCAATTGGGGACTGCGAGGAGGGGGGAGAAAGGGAGAACTCTGAGTCAAACAGGCGAATACCAGGGAAGTAAGGATCCAGGTAGAGAGGGTTCTCCGCTAGTTGGGTTTCAGAGAGCGGAAAAAGTAGAACAACCAGCTTAGCAAAGGAGTCAGAGGTAGGATAACAGAAAGCCCTTAGGCAGAACTCTGACAGACCAGCTTGAGACATGAGAGCTGCTGGAACATTAGAGTTACCCTGAGTGAACCGGAAATCAAGGTCCAAGGAGCTGACGTAAGCGGAACAGAGAGCTCCTGGCGGGAACTTGAATATAGACAGGTCCTCGATGGTCAAGACCAGCTGAGTAGGAGTAGAGGTGGTCCAGTAGTTGGCAGTGCTGAAGGACTTATCGGTCCAAAGGGAACCAAGTAAGTGAAAGGAGGCAGAAGCCACTCTGAGGTTGTCCGGGCTGAGAGTAATAGATAAGCATCCTATGATGCCGCCGTTCCAGTTAATATTGTTCAGTAGCACAGTAGGGAAATCAGCTGTCGAGTTGACGGACAACGCTACAATAAGTAGATTTAACAAAAACGACATTCTAAGCATATTGTGGATTTACAGGATTCATTTATGGATAAATTTATGAACGGAAACTAATTATTAATTAATAGATAAGCATCCTATGATGCCGCCGTTCCAGTTAATATTGTTCAGTAGCACAGTAGGGAAATCAGCTGTCGAGTTGACGGACAACGCTACAAAATCTTCTGCTGAGAGATCGTCAGGGTTGTAAAAGGTAGCACTGGAGATAACAGTCCTGTCAGGGACACCCGGAGGCATGGCTGAAAAGAATAAAATTAGAGAAGAGGTAAGAAAGAATAATAAAAGTTAAGAATAGGACTAAGGAATAAATAAATAAGAAATAAGAAATAAGGAATAAATAAATAAGAGATAGGAAATGATAGAAGGGAAACTTAATCAAAACTGTAGAATTAAAATTAAAGATAAAGAAAACTGTTCAAAAAGAAATTTTTAATCGTAAAAACCGGATGAATAAATTATAACAAAGGAGCTAAACTGATTAATTAATTTTGATAAATAGGGAAAACAGTAAAAGATGACTAATCATAGAATCAATAACTAGCAATAGACAACGTAGGTATTAACTAAAATTAAAATAAGTTTAAACTGATAATTAAATTCTATAAAATAAAGAAATCTCTAAAAGAGATTAAATTGAGCATTAAAAACTAGTAATAGACAAAGCAATAATAAATAAATAAACTAGTAAAAGACAAAGGCAATAATAAATAAATAAACGAAATTAACTAATTAATCACTTTAAAATAATTAAAGAATACAAGGAAATTTAAAAATAAGTAAACTGTAACTATCCTGTAATATCTGATCTGAAATAACTGATCGGCGTAGAGGTCTAGAAGGTAATGAGTAGTAAACGAGAGTCAGGTAGAGACATAGAGAGAGAGAGAGAGTCCATGTGGGGAGAGGAAACGTGTAACAGTACTGTACAGTATGTACATCGTGAACTGAAGGACCGTCCCAGATGTCGTCTTCAATTTGTTTAACTTATAGTGAGTCTATAATTATAGAATTTTATCAGATTTATTTTTAATTCTGCAGTTTATCCACGAGGCCTGAATTTATTTCTTAAATATCAAATCTTTATTTAATTGTCAAATTTTTTTTTAATATTAATTCATTAATTATCTTACTTTACTCCGACGAACTAGCTGGTCTTGGTTGCCTGGAGCTTGTGATCCGTTGTCTTCAAAGGAATGCTCAAATATTTTAATGGTTTTTGCTCATATTACATATATTTGGTGAAATTTGATATTTTTTTCCAAAAACAGAGGGTCGGAGAAAGTCGGCCCGGCGCCTAAGACTAGGTTCCCGACTCTAAGATTCTACTCGGGTTTATGTAAATCTAATTTTGTTGGAGGCAAATTTTTTGAAATTTTAATCATCCATAAACCTTCCCTGGGGTCATGTGATGTCCCACACAAAATTTGGTCCCGATCGGCTCAGCCGTTTTAATGTTTACTAGACACAAACAGACAGACACCCAAATAGACAAGCAAAGTAAAAGATAAAGGTTTCAAGGTTACGGTTGTGAATCGGTCATTGCCATCTTACGCTTAATCTTCCTGAGACCGAATTTAAAGAATTTAAGTCGCGGCTTAAATGTAAGCTGCGGCTCAAATTGTTTCCACTTAAAATCATATTCATTGTTTCAAGATTTAAGCCGGCGCTCTACTAAAACCAGTTTTTGGCGGATTTTAGACGTGGATCAAATTCATTATATATGGACACTGTACATCTTTTTTGTCACACTAATTACACCTGTCCATGCAAAGAATGTCAACCAAAAGAAGTGAATCATCCCTCCAAAAACTTGGCACGCTGTGCAGGACACAGAGGAGTAACTGCCTATCAAAATATAATTAGTACTAAGGGTACATAAGTGCTTAGAATCCATTCAATTTTATTTCAGATTTGGATCCTGGATCCACTTACTAAAATTATGTCTCTAATGGCAGCTGGGCATGAGAACACACTTTCGAGGATGCGCAATGGAGGATGCATTAATATAGATTCACTATTGCGGATACACCATTGAGGATATACTATTGAGGATACACTATTGAGAATACACTTTTGAGGATACAATATTGAGGATACACTTTTGAAGATACACTATAGAGGATATACTAATTAAGGATAAACTATTGAGGATACAGTATTTAGGAAATACTATTGAGGATATACTAATTAAGGATACACTATTGAGGATACTCTATTGAGGATTCACTATTGAGGATACACTATTGAGGATACACTATTGAGGATACACTATTGAGGATACACTATTGAGGATACATTTTTGAGGATATACTAATCAAGGATATATTATGGAGAAAGCAGCACAATCAATCAGTTCCTCCTGGTCTGCTTATAAACAGAGAGACCAGACGGAGAAAGCTGTATATAAGAGTGAGCTACCAGACATAATGACATGGTTAACAAATACAAACCCAATTTTTGGGAGAATACACCATGGAAAACGCAGAACTCAGAGGGCTGTGCAATTTTGATAACGCTCAAAAATGAGACATCACAGCTTTTGTGGGTTATTTATGGTTGAAACTTATTAAAAAAGAAGTGTCCTTTACCTGCCATAAAAAGAAAAGCTGTCTGTGCAATAAAAAGCAGAATATTTCTGTTTGTCTCAGCAACTTTTCTGAGCTGGTTTCTAGCATCCTTCCTTAATAAATATTTAATATGTCCTACCAATCCAGTATATTTGATTGATTTGGACACGTGTAACTTCGTAGCTTTTGATATCTGTAAAATTGTTGTGCTTTATATGATTTGTATCTCTTACCTCTGACATCGTAATAGAACCTCTGTCATAATCAAAGCGATGCATGAGAAAACAAGAAGAAATGAAGTTATCCCATTTAAGGCTGAAAATAGAAAATAGTTAATTCCAATGAGTTTACATTAACTTAGAAATAAAGTCATGTACATTCTTCAGAAATATATTAGTAATTAGTGAAAGAAACTATTTCTATCACTAAAGATGTAAATGCAATGCTGTTAGGGTTTCCAATGAAAGTAGATTTTAATTTCACGCAATTCTGCACAATTCCACACAATTACACACAATTCCAAGCAATTCTGTGCAATTCCGCACAACAAAATTCTGTAAAGAACCCGTAAATGCAGTACATTCTGTAAACTCAATAGAAATCAAGTATTTGTTGATGAGGAAGACAGCATTACTTTGATCATTGGCAGGAGCATCTCCCTCCCAATCCAGCATAATTCCAAAGTTTGTCAGATGATTGCAAAGGCATATAGTCTCATCTCTTGTAGACAATGGATCAACCTTATAATAATATTACAATTAGAAATGGGTATCCTTCAGACATATTATCTAAAGACGAGTAAACAATTTGGATCAATCAGAGAAAATAAACTAATGAATTAAGATGAGAACAAACGAGATCCAATTTTTTCTAAATTACTGAGAGAAAAACGAAGGAAATGGGTTGTTTAACGAGGAACAAACGTGAGGGAACGAATTGAAAAAATATAGAGAATGAGTGTGATTTGTTTGATCATGAACACACAGTTTATCAGATCTATCCATCTTACTCAGTTTTAATTCAAAATTATCTCTTCATAGCTTTGTTTTAACAAATTATTTATTTAATCAATGTTCCATTTACTCTCAGAAATATTCGAACCAATGGAAATCTAAACCCCTAAGGCGTAACCCAAGGGCTTATCATTGAATCCTTGGGGGGTTCTACTTTCCATTGATACAAATTTTCTGAGAGTGAATGACATTCTTTCGTAAAGAGGTGGTTTTAACATGGACCTTATCAGTTTTTAGACTAGCAGGATTCTATAAAAATTGTCGCTTACAATAAAAACAGTCTTTTACATAGGAATAAGTGTTGAATATAATCGTTTGTTTTTAATTTGAGCAATAATGACTTTTATATACTTGTCGTTGTTGTGGCACATTTATTTTGATGTATCTTCTGAATTTAATGCAATGCAATATTTGACAAATGACAGGTTTTTTGTATTTTTTAGGGTTAGGTTAGGTTAGGTTAGGCTAGGTCAAGAAAATTTCTTGGCCTAGTGCTGGTGCTGGGACAGGCTAGTTTTGATTAAATACCTTGCATCCTAAAGATGACCATGTGCTAGTTTCTAGACTCCAAAATACACAAGCTGGAGTGCGTGGGGTAAATAAACAACCCTCCTTATTCTGAAAATTAAGTAAGCATAATTGCAGAAAAACATCAGAGCTGAGAACATTTACATTGGATTCCCTCAATCCCAATTGAACACTTTTGATTTTCTGCTTAATCCTCTCTTTTTTGATATCCATACTTGGTTCAGACCAATGCACATAAAATTTCTTTTTTTCTGATTGGCTGATCATTTCTCTTTAAATTAATTAAATTAATCTGCAGATTACCAAAACAAGCATTGATCCACAATACAATAGTTTCCGGCTCAGGTTTCATATTGTAACAATTTTTAATCTAGAATAAATGTTACCAAGTAAAGTTGATGATTAAATGTAATTTTGATAGGACTATCATCAGATGGTGAGATGGGATGGGTTTTGTTATTAATTGTTAGACCAATTAATTCTTTGCCAAGCACACTTTTTCCTTCATAGTAGTTCTCGTTCTGTGCCTCATCTTCCCTGTATGGATTATCTAAAGAAGGATAAATAAATTCAGAAAGTTTAAAAAGATAATTATTCATGTGAGTAAAAAAAAAAACTAAAACTTACTTGGCAAAGCATTTGGGAAAATGAATGATGAATCTTGTTCCTTATCTTCTTTTGTTGTGATCATAGTTGCCACAAGAACATTGCACTTTACCATGTCCTTTTCCTGACATGAAAATTAGATAGTTAAAGGGTCTGTATGCATAATCATGTATTGTGATTAACCCATTCAATGTAGGTAAATATATAGAACTCGACATTATACCCATATTGTTATTGCTTAACTACCTGATATATAACAGGGTATAACTTGTAAATACACTGTTAAGGGCCCAATTCATATTTAACCGGAAGAAATATAAGTTAGTTGATACAGAAACTTCGCTATGATTGCAGTGTTAAGAGTAATTTTTTTTTTGAGTTGAGATTGTGTCTTGTTTGAAACATTGATCAATAGATTTCTATTGCCCAGTTGACATAGTAAATGAGATCAAACCCAGTGGTAGTGGCATTGATAGTTCATGGGATTGTTGGTGTGTGGATCAAGTCCTGTTTGAGACATTGATCAATAGATTGCTATTGTCCGGTTGACATATCAAACAAAATTGCACCCAGTGGTAGTGGCATTGATAGTATTCTGGATTGTAGCCGTGGGTTGACATTGATAGTCAAAATTTGTTTGAGAATTTTTTATGTAAGTGTTTTCTTCATAAGGTCCATTTAAAGATGTTGTGATTTGTTTATAATAATGATTACCTGAACTTTAGTCAGAGGAATACAAATAGTCCCAGGCCCAAAGCTGAAACACTCTTCTTCAATTTCATTGTTCTCATTCACCTCAGCTACTTTTGCTATTAAGTTTAAGTTACTGAAAAGAAATGAATTTTTTACATTACATTCCGATCTGGATCTGGTTAACTTCTTTTCCGCCCACAGAAACCCTGTATAGTCTAACGCTTCGAGGTACTTAGATACAACTCCACTTCTCTCCTCCTCTACCACAATTTCCTTCCATCCAGTGGAAGTTCCAAAAATCAAATCTGTTGAGTTGATGAGGTTTGAAGTAAACATGTCATTGTCATCAATATCCTCATTTTTCCTCTTATCCAACACTTTAGTCAAAGCATCACCAAGTTTTAAGATGCTTCCACCATATGAATCCTTGTTAATGGCAAGGTTATTAACCAGACTTACAGATATGCTGAATGCAGATGATCCATTTGAAAGCATTTCCTCTACATTCATGATCCATGGGTCAATGCAAGCAGATCTGTCTGGTTCAGAAGTACTAAACCCACCAATACAACCGTCACAATACCAAAAGGCTTCTGCACCCTCCTCTAAAAATGAACACTTTAGAAATAGTTGAGCATTAGAAGTTGATAAAATTTTTAAGAATAAATTTAACAGCATTCGATGGCTACCTTGACTTTCTAAAAAACAGTTCTTTGACACTCTTTCACCAAAATTTGCTTCCCAGAGTATTCCTCTAGAATCTTGTTTTAAACATGTTCCGGCCATAGGACATGCTGCAGTAGTGCTTGGAGAAGCTGTAGTAGCTGGAATAATAATATTATTAGATATTTTTTCTTATTTAGAAAATAGAAAATTGCAATCCAGTGTAAAATGTAAAATGTACAATGTTGTTATAGTCTTAGACAACTTGCATTAAACTCTGAGAAAACTTTGATACATAAATCTATATATAAATTTGGCTTGTCTGTTTGTTTGTATCCAATAAACGTCAAAACGGCTGAACCGATCGGGCCCAAATTTCTTGTGGAACATCACATGACCGCAGGGAAGGTTTATGAATGATAAAAATAAAAAAATATGTTTTAAAGGTTTTAAATTTAAAAAAAATTAAATTCTTGAAAATCTTTTTTTAAAAATCTGCAAAATTTTTTCTTCTTTGTTTTTTAATGTAAACAAAAATAACATGAAACAATTTAAATAGAAGATGGGCAGGAAGCGCCATAAAAGCCTAGTAATCTACAAAAAAATAAGATGAAACCCATGATTTAATCTGGGTCAAAAAGTACAATTGAAAATATTGATGGCACTATTAAAGCTATAATGTACCAACAAATCTCTCCAGTGAAAAAGAACGAATTCTGTTAAAAAGAATATTGAAACAATCATTTTTTACATGAATGTGAAATCCATGGCCTTACATTCAGGCCCTTATATGTAGATATAATGTATGGCTCTTATATGTATATTGAGATATTTCAAGATGGAATTGACTTCAAGCATTTTGAGAAATTGCAAAACATATTTACATGACTGGCAGTGTGTATCCGAACCTCCCAGAGGAAGGGTGTCAGTAGAGCTTTCTAAGCCTGTTGAGAGAAAGGGCGCTATGTGCGTTGTACTTGTATAGTAATCTAGATATTTTACCCTTCTCACAACAGAAACTGGACTACTCATGGCAGACCTCTGACAATGATAGGCAAAAGACACACTCCCTGTGTTTTAAAGCGATGGGACAGCATGCTTAACAGGTTATATTTTCTTTAAAAAATCTGTCCACTTGGGAATACATGTTAACAGTGAGGACTATGGTAAATCTCATTCCGGTTACCCTTACAACCCCATCCTCATCCTCCTACCTCTTTAAATCCAACCTTATCCTACTTCACAAGCAGATATAGTGGAACTTAGAAACTGCTTTGCTGTGGAATCTTAATCAAAACTTTCAGAGAGAGATCATCATTGGTATCATAGGTGTTCTTTTCCAAGTGGGTACATCTAAATCACCTTAAACCTACCCAAATGCAGTTAAGGCTAGGAGGTCTTTTAATTTTTTGTTCTAAATTACTGCAAGACACTGATACATTTAATGCAGCTGACAACGGGAAGTTCTCATTATACAACAATGTCAGCAATAAAAATGTATAGATGACAAATATCAAACACAACTGGAATAAATACTAAAACTCAAGAGCTGATATTGTAATACTACAAATTTCCTGGTCAGCTATCAAAACTGCATAATTAACTATCCTGAGGGGGGGGGGGTATGCAGCTCATTTAATAAGCAAAGCAGGACAGCCAGAAAACAAGAAGATTGGAAAAAATTATAATATGCGATCTGCATTAAATACATGTATCAATAAATTTGTTTCATAAAAAATTAAAATAAATATATTGAAAAAATTACATGACTGGGCTGACCTGTGTGTTTACAAAGCCATGATTCTGGAATGACCACAACAGTTTGATCCCGTCTTGACGATACCGTGGATTCAAGTCTGTTCCATTTATCTGTTGTGTAATCATATTGAATAACTGCATTATACACTTTTTCATCATTGATGACATCAGTTCCAAAATATGTTGCAACTTCATTGATGGTCACGAGGGACCCTTCATTTCTTAGTCCTCCAGCTGAGATAAGAGTAAGGTTTAATATTGGCTTCAAATATTTCCAATCTCTAATATAAAGTTCAATTTACATTCAATAATTTTGTCCAAATTTTAAAGATCTGATTTCCTTATTTAAAAGAATGCATTGAGTGAATAATTTCACAGTTGACAATTATCATCTGTTTTACATTAAAAGCAAAACAGAATGTGAAATATTGAAAGGTGTGAATTGTTCCCCTGATTGTGACCAAATAGTTTCCACTAGATGTTAGTAAAACTGCTGCCTCCTCGTCATTACTGCTGTCCTCATTAAGGAAAGGCATAAATACAATTGTTTTGTGCTTATCTACTCTTTAGACTCACTTTAAAGAGACCGTAAGCATAATTTCTAGTGAACCTCCCTGTTAAAATTAAAATGAATAATTAACAGCATTCATTTTACTTGAAATAGTTTATTTAAAAAGATTAATTGATGTTAAAAAAATCCCCACATTGATTTATCATATAAATGCTTTCCTAATTCTAATAGTTGTGACGCCTGCAGGATGTTTAAATTCTTCTTTAAATTCTACACAATTCCAATTCTTCTCATCAGCATCACAAAATTTGACTTCAGTCATGCAATAACAGGCTGTTATTGAATTAGGAGTGAAGATTAGGTGCGCAACTTTATTAAATTCAGAACTATATAACATATAAAGATTCAAAAACTTAAGAAGGGAAATGTTAGCTTAGTGTAATCTTGTAGCAGAGGGTGTATGCTTTTAAGAATTAGCCCCCCCTCATCAAATAAGTTTCCCCCCCAAAAAACTTCTGAGGGGAAATAATTTTCAAAAAAACTAGGCACCCCTGTCTTACAGAAAATAACATTCCATCATGGTCAAGTCTGAATAAAGTAAGATGTACTTTATTTATGCATAAAGTGTGGTTAGAAGTGGAAAGAAGTAAGCCAAGAAAACTTGGCTGGTCATCTAGGGAAGGTGTCCACAACTTATTAGAAGGATAAATTGGGTCAAAATGTCTATCAGAAGTAGGGATGGGTGCTTACAAATTCAATTTTAATTTTCATCGTTTTTAACGAGAAAATTTTAATTTAGCTTTCTGAAGGATTGTTCAATTTTATCGTCTGTTCAGTTAGATTGTTCAATCAGTAAAATTATTTGTTCATTAACATTGTTCGTTCGAAAAAAAATAATATGTAGTTTTCTTTTTGTTTGTTACTGAACAAACCTTAATTTTTTTGTTTTTTAAAAAGCAATCGTTTTAATATTTTCAGAACAATCGTTCTTTCATTGTTCGTTAATTTTTCTGGACGACACCATCATTCAAGACAAATTTAATTTGTTTTGAAACATTTTCTTTGTTCACAACAACAATGCCCATCTCTAATAAAAAGTGTAAGCTTCCTTGATTCAGAGGCAACTATCTAAATGGTTGAATACCAATCATCAATTAGTTATGAATCTCATGTTCCTGAAAATGGTTGTAGCAAACACTCTGCCTTCATTTGTATTGGTAAATGATCCTATCTTATTCCACGCTGTAGCATTATTTCCCTTTCTTTTAAAATTAAATTAGTTTTTAAGGGATACACTAGTTGAAAACAGAAAAAGGTGTGTCCACTTTAAGTGTTGTTAACAGTTTTAGTTTATTTTGAAAAAAATTTTAAATAAAACTTTATTTAAAAAAGTATTCTGTTAAGGTTTACTTTATTCTAAAAATTGTAAAACAATTTAAAAATTAAATCAAAAATTAAAAAATTGTAAAACACTTAAAAAATTAAATAAAAAATTAAAAAATTATAAAACAATTAAAAAATTTAATTAAAAATTAAAAAATTGTAAAACAATTAAAAAATTGTAAAACAATTAAAAAATTGTAAAACAATTAAAAAATTAAATTAAAAATTAAAAAATTGTATAACAATTAGAAAATTATATTAAAAGTTAAAAAATTGTAAAACAATAAAAAAATTTAATTAAAATTAAAAAAATTGTAACACATTTGTTTTTGGTTACTTTTTTGCAAATATTTTCTCTGTAGTGTAAGAAAACCAAATGTTTATAATACATAATCTAAAAAGTTTTTAATCTTACACTTTGCAAAATTTTGACCTTAAAATGAAATAAAGTCCAAAAAACCCTGACATGGACATCACTACACACTTTGATTTAGTAGAGAAGGTCTTTGCTTGTTAACAACAAAGTTTTAAATGATTGATTATTAACTAATCTTTATTCCGGACTAATAAGCTGTATTTGGAATGGGAATGCATTTCTAGATTAAATTACCAAAACTAATAAGGTTGTCTATTTTACGTAGAAACAATCTGAGAATGGAAAATTTTTTTTTATCCCTTGACAAAAGTTTCAACCTATGAACTTAAAGGGACTGAATACGGAAATTCAAGTGACCCTTTATCCTTTGTCATCGGATGAACAAAGACACACTAGACTAAGCTAATGGCGTAGGTCGTATACAATGAAAAGTCTGGCCGCCCCTTGAAAGTTTAAACCGGGCAAATAAAGAATAGGCCTGTACGTTGCTAAGGCCGGTACAAGGAGTTGGTCCGGTTCAAATTCAAATTGACCCAAGCCCAGTGTGAACAAAGGTTTGTTTAAATGAAGGGTGATTTGAAAATACTCGTTTTCAGTCTTTTTAACTTTTTTTGTTCTTTTTTTTACTTACTTTGGCTCAAAAGCAAAGACTGAACTGTGATATTCTGGAGAAAAAAAATATTTGTTAAAACTCAACTTATTAAGGTTTTTTACTGAATTATTAAAATGTTAAAAAATTGTTTTTTTTTTTGAATGTAAAGATTACCTTCTGTAGATTGTCCTCCTATATGCAGAAAACCTTATAAAATATTTTGTCATTATTTTTTCAATTTTTGATGATATTTGGTAATTTTACAACAACAAAAAAAGATGTTTGTGAACTTTGATTTACAACGGTACCCTTAAAAGTTTTTTCTCACCAATAAATTACATATTAATGTTAAAAATTTTAAATTCTGATTATTGTCAATGGAAAAGTTTTCCTGCAAAATTGACTTTGTGCATTTCTGCTGAGTGAAAAAAATGTAGGAATTATCAGTATTAAACACAATTTAAAATGACGTAAATAAAGTCCATGCTTGCATCATTGGACAATGATTGTAAATCAGAAAAATCCCATTTGACATTACAATGAGATTAGAAAATAAAAATTTGAGAAATGTTCTCTCTTTTCAAATATAACCAATAACATTTAAGGAGCCTATTTTTTTTAATTTATACAAAATCGCCAAAAAATGCTATATACGCAAAAATAATTTTGTGTGTTTTTTAACGTTGCTTCATTATCACATTATACATATGGATCATTTACCTGGGTCTAATTTTGAATTTTTAAAGAGAAGCATTTGACTTTCAGTGACACCTGTATAAATTTCATTTAATTTTTGTTAATAGTAGTAACGGGTTAAATACAATCATTGTTATTTGTTTGTCCAGTTCTCAACTCATGATAAAACTTAGCTTGGGTTGAATAAACTAGAATCAACGTATACATTTCTGGATGGGTTTACAATACTAACTGAAGGACCCGGCGTTGCCCGTAATAAAAAAAGTTTGTCACTCCCAGGCTACCCATGACTGTCCAAAACAAATTCAGCCCATTCGGTCCAGCCGTTTGGCCGACCATAAAGAACATATATATGAATGTTGTTACGCGAGCCATGCTGCGTGTAGAAAGTCTGCTTGTCGCCCCTGCGTATTTCTGAGTTTCTCCTGAAGATCTGTACGGAATGTATTGTGAAAGAACTAGTTTAGGAACTGTTTACAGTCCGACTGCGCAGACGCAAGATTTCTCGCGGAGTAGTAGTTAAATTTATATCAGTATATGTTTATTCGTTTTGCAAGTATTATCCGTGTTCAGAATTCTGGGATCACCGTGGTAATTATTTTATATATATTTATGCTTATCGGTTGATTCTAGTATGATTGATAATTGTGTATATGTTTATTGGTTCCTAGCCACAGTTTTTTAATGCCTGAGTGGATAATTTGTTGTAATTGTATGATTTTCACTCAAAGCTTTTTCTGTGGGTTTATTAAACTTGTTTAGATTGAAGGCTCAGAGAAATAAACGTTCGGAACCTTACTATCTTCCTTTTTATTATGAAGAGCGTTGAGAGAAGGGAGTCTTACGATCCAATCCTGAGAAATACCACACGGTACATATATTAGGTCTTTAGGGAAATCGCTAAGTAGCGAAACAAATGTTTTGTTTTATCATTATAGCTATATGATAGATAGATATTTAATTTGTCAGCCACTTCCATGGAAAGCCTGGTCAAAAATTTTCTGTACACTATCATTCACACTTACTTCATGAAGATTTTTATCATTGACATGCTATAAAGTAATCACCTTGCTACAAAGTTAAATTAGCTGTATGTTTATTTATGATTGGATCCAGGATTTTTTGGATAATCCTAGAATATTTAAATGAAAATAAAACAAAACTTATCATATCTAGAAATAATGACTGCATCAAAACAAGTACACAATCATTTAATATAAGTACACAATTATTTTGGCAAGAGCGACATGTTATAGAGTAGAACAGGGCTCCAAAAAATAGTTCTGCCTCTGCAATCTGGCTAGCTGCAAAAAACATCAAAAAAATTCATTTATTTTTATTTTCAAAATTAGCCAAAGTATGAATGAAGGATGGACAAGGAATGGACCATCAAGAAGAAAGAATGAAAAACAAGAAATATATAAGTCTCAAAATGTTTTCATCTGATATCATATTGAAATTTAAAAATATTGTAAAATTTAATTAAAATAAACTATTAACGGTAAAATAGAGTAGAACTCGGGGCAAAATAAAATCTAAAAAAGACTTGACAAATTTCTGTCTAAAAACTGTATTGAAAACCAAAATAATAATGTTATAAATAAATATAAGTGGTGGAATTATAGCGTTTTGAAAAAACATTTAAAGATAAGCTCCCTAGAAGATCAACACATGTGAACAGTTCCCAGGAAACAGAAGTGGATGATACAACTAGATGTCAACTAGTTGTTCTAAACTCCACTTAAACTCGACTTTATTTCCACTATTGAATTCCAGTCACTAACTGGGTGAAATCTGGGTGCATAAACTCGACTTAAACTTTTTGAATCCCAGTTTTTACCGAGTCAGTGAACAGAATTCTATGATCATTCACGATATCAACTCTTAATAATAATGATTGATTAATCAAAGATCGATTGATCAATCAAAGATCGATTGATCAATCAAAGATCGATTGATCAATCCATGTTTACCGTTTTGGAGACCAGTACTAGAAGAATAGTTAAAATAGGCCCATTCTTCTGAAATATACAAAAATATTGAACAAAAGCAATTTTTATATATTCTTAGATTTTAAAATTAAGTAAGAAAAAGTAATCATTACAGTGATTACTTTTTTTCTCAAGAATCTTATGATTTATCTTTCCATTACTTATTTTCCTATTTTTCTTCAAAAGGTCACTTTTAAAAACTATCAATATTTGTTTGTATAGTTTTAAGATTTCTGTAGAGGTTATTGACAGTCTAAGAAAAAAAGGCCCAATCTAATGTTTCTTTGAAACACGATTTTGGCTACCTAAATTGTTGTTAGAGCATTGAGCAAATCGACCATCTTCTTTAACACCTCCGCAGATAAACAATCCATGATTGGGGAGATAAATTCCTGAAACATTAACTTTTAGAATTATAACATTTTAATCCTTTTCCGAGTTATAATTGCTGTTTATAAAAAAAATGACCCGCGGATATTTGCGGTAGAATAAAGGAAGGAACTTGACAGAATATGTTTTTTAAAGAAGGGAACACCATAGTTTGAGTAGAAGTAAATATTTCCATTTAATGTTATAATGTTAAAGGATTCATAACTCTAATTAGATAATGAGATAGATAGATAGATAGATGTTACCGCCAAACTATTTCTATTGGTTCAGAATAGACACAAAACACAAGACTGAACCCTGATTGGATCAGGCGCTAATGAACTCGGCATACAGGAGTGGGAAACGAAGATATCCTCCTCATAGTTACTCAATTAAGGGTTTAAAACATACAGTTTTGAATTTGTATGTGACTCTAAAGATTTAGTGACACTTGAAATTCCTTTGACTCGTCAACCAACTGTTGACACACAATTTAAAGTGTAATTCTATTACCCTTGATTCACAATTCGGAACCCTTAAAAAAAGCTTTGTCTGATCAATTGTATTAAATTAGATATTAATCACTATAGTTTCAGAAGAAGTAAATATTTCCATTTAGTGTATAGCGCCGATTTAATGATTTATCTCTAATTGGATGATGTGAGATAGAAAGATAGATGTTACCGCCATGCAATTTCTATTGGATCAGAATAGACACCAAACACATAACTGAACCCTGATTGGATCAGGCGCTAATGGACTCGGCATTGTTCATAATTTTGAAAACTGATTATTTTCAATTGTGAAAACTTTACAAGTGACTTGCATATTTATACTAAAGGAAAACAAACATGAATTCTATACTTTATACTTAGAAAAACAACAATATCTTCCACACTATTGATCAGATAAAGGTTTCATGGGAATTGTTTTAAATCAGATATGTCACTCTACTGTATTATTTTAAAGTTTGCTTTCATCAAATTTGCAATTGCAAACTATTTATTCTAAAAAATTGTAAAACCATTAAAAATATGACCCAAAACAGAAACAAAAAGGATACAAAAATGCAAAAATGAAGGTTTTTTAATTGTAAACCATACCTGCTGAACCGGCAGCTGCATCGTTAACTTTGTCCAGTTTATATTCACAGAGCTCATAATTTTCTCCCAAATGCCCTGAAAAAAATAGGATATAGGGTGGGACAAAAAATGTCCAGTTGTTGTCTTATATGTATATCTATTTCAATTTTGATTTCTATCTCGATATTTCAAACAGTAGAAACACATCAACAAGTAATAATAACATGACATAATAAAACATACAACAATATAAACTTTGAGTGCTGGGTTGTCCCCCCTCCCTTACATTCCTCTATTCTTCTTTTCCTCTTTATTCTTCAATACCTTTTCCTTATCTACTCCTTTTCCTTCTCCTCCTCATCACGTTGCTTTCTTCTTCTTTTCCTCTCTATTCTTCAATACCTTTCCCTCTATCTACTCCTTTTCCTTCTCCTCCTCATTACGTTGCTTTCTTCTTCTTTTGCCTTTCTATTCTTCAATACCTTTTCCTCTATCTACTCATTTTCTTTCTCCTCCACATCACGTTGCTTTCTTCTTCTTTTCCTCTCTATCCTTCAATACCTTTTCCTTATCTACTCCTTTTCCTTCTACTCCACATCACGTTGCTTTCTTCTTCTTTTCCTTTCTATTCTTCAATACCTTTTCCTTATCTACTCCTTTTCCATCTCCTTCACATCACGTTGCTTTCTTCTTCTTTTATCCTCTCTATTCTTCAATACCTTTTCCTCTATCTACTCCTTCTCCTCCACATCACGTTGCTTTCCTTTTGTTCTAAATTGTTTTTGCTTCATTTAGTTTTATTTTGATTTAACATGTATTTATCGTTGCAAAAGAACCTTTCATTCAAAACTACCAGCAATGGATAGAGAGATCCTGGCTAAATTAAAATGTAAAAACTGAGTTCCTGTAATTGTTATTAATTAAAATATTTTGTCAAATATATATATCTATTTATCTATCTAACAGCAGAGACACATAACAACGCGAAGTTGTAATTGACAACTTCTCCTTTTTGTTTATTTTTTAACCCCCTATTTTAAAAAAATGATTGTTAGAGATTTGATTAAGTTTAGTCTTCATTGCATTGATATAATACCGGCTACTGTATTAGAAAGATTTAGAGTTTCGGGTCTTTTGTAAACTCACAGATTTAGTTTAAAACATTTATTTCTGGAGGGAGTTTTTTTTATATTACTGATGAACCATTTTATTTGAAAAATCAAAGAAATCAGCTAAATTAGTAATAGAAATTCAGTCAATTAAATTTTTAAGCAAGGTCTGTGCACACTGCACAGTCATCATGGGTTTACAGTTTACTAGTTTCATGACTAGGAGTGTCATATACTAGCTGTTTCAACTGGTTTACTACAAAACCTGTGTTAACGAAAAAATGTGTATTTAAAAAAAAATGTTGAAGATGGTTTGTCTATATATTCTGTTGAAGTTTGAACACCAACTACTGGTATTAACTAACCTGTATAAATTTCATAACTGTCCATAATTTGGTTTGAATCTGGAACAAAACCGCCAGTTATAAAAACCAGATCTTCTTCAGTCAATCCTCTGTCTGAAACATTTTTGGGTCTTGCTTTTTTTGCGAAAAAAATAAAAATGCATTTCGAAAATGTGTGTTCTAAAATGCTTGTAATAAAATCGAAAATGTATGTTCTAAAATACTTGTAATAAAATCGAAAATGTATGTTCTAAAATGCTTGTAATAAAATCGAAAATGTATGTTCTAAAATGCTTGTAATAAAATCGAAAATGTATGTTCTAAAATGCTTGTAATAAAATCGAAAATGTATGTTCTAAAATGCTTGTAATAAAATCGAAAATGTATGTTCTAAAATGCTTGTAATAAACCTAATTTTATTTTATCAAATAAATTTTCCCGTTTTCTTACACTCAAGTGAAATTATTACTGTAAAAACGAAGAAAGACTATTTGATGATGATTAAGTACACGATCCATTTATTTTATTAAATTAATATCCCAACCACGCACCTCTCAACCTTTAGTAAATTAATATCCCAACCACGCACCTCTCAACCTTTAGTAAATTAATATCCCAACCACGCACCTCTCAACCTTTAGTAAATTAATATCCCAACCACGCACCTCTCAACCTTTAGTAAAAGTAAATTGAACCAATATAAAGCATAATGTCAGCCCGTGCCAACCTTTTTGCACCAGCTATTCCTGTTGATTGTCTTTTTTTTCAACCCAATGTCCGTGCGGTGCAGTACAAACTGGGACCGGAAAGGTTGACCCGTATCGGAAATTCAAATGTTCTACGGCTCCCCGTGCAACTCTCTTACACAGTCCAATACAGTCCAACCGGTTGACGAGTTTCAAGTGACATTTTATTTACACATGTTCCTGTTAAACCTTTGTTTGTAAAGAAATTCAAGAATATTTTGTTTTTTAATCTAAAATATAAAATTTTCAATTAATTTCTTCATAAAAGTATTCGCTAATATGTGTTCCAGAAAGACAGAATTAGGGTTTCAAGCGGAAGTAAATTTGCTTGAGTATTCTGCAAGCTTTTGTGCTGAATTCTGCATTTTTGACAAAGCAATTCCTAGCAACACAAACCATTTTTCTTTTCCTTTAAAAACCCTAGACAGGATCTGTACCACTTTTTCAGATAGAAAACAGCGATATCTCCAATTATATAGTTGCTAGGATAAGGTTGCCTAAGTGAATTTACAAAAAATCAACGGTCCCTGAAGTACACAATTAAAAAGTTTACCCCACTAAAATAAAACTTACCAACTGCAGCAAAGAGAACAAGAGACACATAAAACAACATTTTCTTGTTTTCAGATCAGCTATAATAACCACATTTTAGAACATTTTAAAAGAACTATATCTTAGTTTGAACACTAAAAAAATAACAAATTTTGATTATTATTTATTAGATAACATTTCAAGTTCTAACTTCTGATGAACACCGAAAAAAAACAGCTTTCCAGCAAATTAATGATTAAGCTGTAAAAATCCATCAAAAAACATGAAAATTTGTGATAGAAACTAATTGCTCTCCTCTTACTCTAATTGTTTTTCATTCTGATGTCTACGCCTTGAGGTTGCAAAGATATAAGGATTAGAAAATCAAAGTTTGATCACTCAAATAACAGAGAAAAAAAAATGTTAAATGTAAAAAGAAGAATATTTGCAGCTAAAGTAACATATATAAAGCTTAAATCGAAAATTGTAGAAATCCACTTAAAAAAAATAGTCCCCGAATCAAGTCTTTGCCACAATCTCAAATTATCTAATCCCTTTACAACCTGACCATGTAAACCTTTGATATTTCAAACTTAGATTATTGATCTAACAGGATTTATAGTTTAAAATATAAAAGTTCTTTCCAGCGAAAAATTAGGTTATTAAATCAGAGTTTGTTGTAAAGACTCAAATCATTTGCCAAAAAAAGTTCTTGATGAAAAAATAACATAAAAATATTGTTATTTGCTGAAACAATAATTGAAAATGAACAATGAACCCTTAAAGAATAATTTTTATTTATAAATCAAGTATTTCAAGAAATACAATTCTTCTTATCAATTTTCTGTGAAAAATATACTCAAGGATTATAATTTATACAACTCTGATAAGAGCAGGCCCGACCGTCAGACTGAAGAAGGAAGCTAAATTACAAAATAAACGCCGAGATAAGACTTGAATCATTCACTTTATTCAAAATAATTTACTTTATTGTGTGCGTGTGTTTAATTCTGAAAAATTCCGTAATATTGTTTAAAAGGTAAACAAATTATTCCGTAATATTGTTTAAAAGGTAAACAAATTATTCCGTAATATTGTTTAAAAGGTAAACAAATTATTGTATTTGAAGAAAAGGATGTCAAACAATCGATAATCCGAACTTTTTGCCACAAACTCAAATTTGCAAATCACTGTTTCTTTGCAACCCAATTTTGCAGACCTTTTATATTTAATACTAATAATTCTGTTAGATCAAATAGTCTAAGTCTGAAATAACAAAGGTCTACACCATCGTCCATCAAGTTGCAAAGATTTAGGGATTAGAAAATTTGATTTTGTGGCAAAACTGAGTTCTTTGTGGTATACAATAAAGCATGAGAATTGTACCACTCCGCAATTATTTCGTGAACACAACTTTAGTAGAGTGTAGACCCATAAAACTGTGGAATAGGAATACTAATGTTAGACTCATTCATTCATATTCATTTTTTTATTCAACTACAAAGCATGAGATATTACAAATAAGCAATCACAATTTACTATGAAGTTTGGACCCGCCTAACCAGGGTAGGTTGTTTTGAGGGGTGGTTGGCCCGAAGTTAGTTAACTATACTGAATATAATTGTGTTGACACAAATAAAAGAACAAAAGGGATATTCGGTAACTTTATTGAATAATAGCATGAAATGAGAAATAAAAGCAAAGTTTAAAAATATTGACCCTTAATTGGGAGTATCTAAACGGTTAAAAATGAAATAACATTGATTATTAGTGTTGAAAGGAATGGAACAGTTGGAGCTTCATGTTGGTGGAGCAGATCAACAGGAACTGAAACAGCAGGGCTTATCCAACCTAGTAGGCAGTGATCGCGGTTTTATCATGAGGTGGAGCTTCATGTTGTCTCTGGTTTACATGATAAACTGGGAACCCTTTGGGTAAGCACGTCTGCTGCTTACTGAGTATCTGCGCCATCATCATAAAGGAGTTAGTAGTTCCTGATCGGAGGTGTTCACATCTCGACGTTCTAAAGGTAACTGACGCTGTTCTCCACAAGTAGAGGCGGTAAAGGGGGTGGGAACATGAGGAGACACATTTTGAGCGGATATAGTATTATGTATTGTGAATCTTGCGCGGTCAACTTCGCTACACAGTAGTAATCGTCTTCGTGTTTTCTTGAATTTGTTAACAAATTGGTTACACATATCAAGTTATGTTTTTGGATAGGTAAGGAGTTGATCGGAAGGAAGGAGATTGTCAGGTGATCTGTGGCAGGGTGAGATTACTGATTTATGTAGAGATAAATTAAAATATAGGGTATTTAGGATGGTGGATACACATTACACAAACGCAAATAAGCTAATAAAATTTTATTCTTTTTATTTTTTATTATGAAATTTATACACACGATATACGACTGGGTTTTTCGCATTTAATCCCTCTCATAATTTTCAAGATAAATATTGATTACTCTTTGTTTTTATATTTTTGCAAAGCTTTCTAGATTTTTGTTTAAAACTCGTGTTAAATGCTATATTAAATAGTCTAATTGATATGAAACCCAGAATAATTGTGTCGTGTACATACACAGCCTCATTCTACTTCATAACTTGATTCTCAAACTACTATTAAAACATAAAAATACAAATAACATTCCTTGAATGTCGTCTTTCAGTTTTCTACAGTTTTAACTGTAGTATCCCAGTTAAAATATTAACACCGAAACTCTAGTCTTGGGATTTCAAAAATGTGGTCAGCCATTTTTCCATCTTCAAAATGGGGTTTTCTGAAATATACATAAATATATATATATATATATATATATATATATATGTCCAGATTTCAATTTGACCACATTTTAAAGAGCTCATAAGACGTACAATCTTGGTTTCATACAGGTTGTCCCAATAAACATGGGAATTCAGTGACGAATTCGATATCGTCTTTTTAAATAATTCTTTGATTTAGTTTAGTGATACCTACTGAGAAAGCGAAATCCGTAAGATTTTCGTCTGTTACAATTTGTTTGTTTTTGTTTTGACTGTATACGGTTGTACTTAATAAAGCAAGAAAACTAAAGTATACAAGCAAGGTAAACTTGTCCGTCTTCACTGTTCCTCTTGCAGAGACATTATAGAGACATCTTTACAGCCATTTACCGTTTTCATTAAATAAACTCTATAGCAGACCTAATAATATTATGGTTTTAGAAATTAGGTATTACAATGCTAATTCATAACAAAGACGATATCGAATTCGTAAATGAATTTCCAGTTTAATGGGACACCCTGTACATTTGTTGTACTTTATTTTAGGTTTAAAATGTCATTTTTTTAAGATTTAAAATGTAATTTATTTTATATTTAAAATGTTATTTATTTAGATTTAAAATGTCATTTATTTAGATTTAAAATGTCATTTATTTTGGATTTAAAATGCCATGTATTTTATATTTAAAATGTCATCTATTTTAAGGTTTTATCTCAAATAAATTTATTATTTAGTAATGCTGATTTAATAGAAATAATTGGCTATGAACTCTGTTCCATTAAGTGACTGTGAATTCAAAGTCTACAGCCTCAAAAATTAGCAAACATTAACTGAGATGTAGATATCACCCCTGCTATCTGTGAATTTGAAAATATTGTGGAAGACGATGCCTGGCCGCGTTAAACTAGTTCCACAAGATTCAACAGAATTATATAGAACGGATACGGGGCATTAGTACTGATATCATCTCTACAGTCTACACGTGCGATATCGATATTGACTCTAGTTCTGAACCCTCTAGTAATAAGTTATAAGAAATATATATACTGGAAGTTATTTATGCGTTTTATTAGAGTCTGACTCACGTCCTCTATAATATAATAATTAATAGAGCACCACACGTGGATTTAACGGTTCTGTCAATATTTCAGAAAACTGTGACTTTCGATCACAATTTGACCCCTTTTACATAATTTTATAGCCTTTTATTATAAATATTTTTTGTTGGCATATAAACTTTGAATGAAATAGTATAAAATAAACAAATCTGTAAGTCTAAAGACAGAATGCTTCTCTCTCTGGTTGATTCGGGGTGACCATGATTATTTTACAGACAATGTTTTACAGCTTGACAAAATATAAAGTTATTCGTATTGTAATATTACCAAAATAGAGTAAGTTTCTTCTGAAAACTTGTAAAAGTATTTTAGTTTTCATGTTGAAGATACTATATTAATACAGGTTTAACTTAGGGAACATATAGCGGTGAAATTTCGAACAAATTCCCACACAAAGCTTTACCACAGCTAGGCTAATCTTTTTGCGAAATCCACTTCCCCTGCAAGCAATATATTTAACAATTATTTTATCTCCACTATCATCAAATGTTAAGCCATTTTTTTTGAGAAAATAAACACACTTTAGGATTTGAGAAGATAAAGAATTATTGGCGTCCAACTTCAGCTATACAGAGGGCAAAACAAAAAATGCTGTAAGCATATTATATACAGATTCGTCTTTATACACTTAATGGGGGCTAGGGTTTCCATTTTTCCGGAAAAAAAATTCTATTTTGGAAATGGAATGATCCGGAAATTTGTTGCGTAAACCGGAATTCCGGGATAATTCCAGTATAAATGGAAACCGGAAATTTTCCGGTTTACGTCACGTAAACCGGAAAAATTTCCAGTTTCCATTTCGTAAACCGGAAAAATTTCCGGTTTCCGGTTGAATATTGATTATTGAGTATAACTTTTTCTACCGTCCGGCATCCATTCATATATTGTTAGTGTTACTAACTGGTGTTGTATTTACATATGTAAGACTTTAATGTAATTCTGGTACCAAATGTTCCGGAAACCGGAAATTTCCGGAACGATTTTCCGGAACGATATTCCGGAATACCGTTCCTGAAATTTCCGTTTTACGAAAAAAAAATCGTTCCGGAATTCCGGAACCTTTTCCATAATGGAAATTGAAAAAATTTCCGGATCATTTCCGTACGTAAACCGTAACCCGGAATTCCGGTGGAAACCCTAATGGGGGCATTATTGTTCTCATGTAGCACTTAAAATATTAATTTAAGCCCTCCTGATAATCTAGTAGACTTGAATTCTGTGTTCCATGAACACTTGAATCATTATAAAATATGTAGCACTAAGGCCT